ATGAAGTGAAAAGTGATACTTTTATTTAGCTCGCAGGAGAGAGCGTTTTAAATAGCTTCATCTGGTTCAGCAACCTGTTCTGTTTGCGAGTCGAGCGTGCTGCATACCGACCAGGCTTTTGAGCGACTCCGGAACTTTCCAGAGCATGCATCTCATTTTTAATTATCTCCTTTTTGCGTCGTTTTTCGTTTGCCGTGGTTGAAATTTTTCTGTTTGCAAAAAGCGGTTTGTTTATATTTGCATAGCTTGATTACGATGGGCGTTGTGCGTTTTCTTAATTACCGGCGTTTCCTAAAGCGGCGGTTCCAGAGTCAACAGAGAGGAAATATAACAAATTGCACCCATCCAAAAACCCACGGCGAGCGGCAAATTAGAGCCGAAAATGAGGTGTGACATCATAATTCAGCGTTGGGCGATTCGCGAACAAACAGTCGTTTATTTTATGCGTGCGCACGCAGAAGAGAAAAAAAACATATTTATGCAAGAGGTGTGTAATTTCGTAAGATCGAAGGGTAAAAAAAACCTTGATCTTGCGAGTAGTTGCGGGAAAAGATTCATCCGTCCGCGTGGCCATAAAAGAGCAGCCACGTGGGCGTCGCGAACCTTGATTCTTCATAGGCACAACTACTTCTTCGCACAAGATTGTGCTCGTCATTTTTTCACCGCGTAGGTCGCGGAACGCCACCTGACAAGTCAAAAATAACTTGTTGTTTTTATCGAGTTTTATGCGGATTGTTATTGGCAGGTAGGTCTGATTGCTGTGTTTTATTGCGGCTACTGTTCGCAGTTATGAAATATTGATTGGAGAAAATATAATAAAATAATCATTTATTTAGTTTGCACTCGAGGAGGCGTTTATAGAAGGGCCGAAAAAAATATTAAATTAAAAAAGGTCAGTTGTTTAAGAGTTGCAAACATTTATTTAAAGGATCCGAAAATTTTCAAAAAAAGATTAACAGAAAAAAATTATTCCAACCTTGGCAAAAACTGAATAATAATTATTATTATTTAAAAACAAACGAATATGATGTAGCAAATTATATTACATTAAATAATGTGCATTCAACTGCACAAGTTCAAACTGTAATGAGCATCAAATTATTCTGACTCGTTATTTACCAACTGGATTATATTAAAATTTTATAAAATAAAATAAGTCACGCGAACCAAGAAAAAATCGGAGTTAATTTATACATAATTAAATAAAATAACATTGTACTGAAGTTGTGGATGGTAAGTAATTTATAAATAATGGAATAAATTATGGCTCAAAAATTACATACATGTCCACTTTCATGATTTATAAATATGTAATAATTTGTAAATGATTTTTAAAATATAAATTATTAATTAAAAATATCTTTAAAGTTAAAAAGTAAAAATTATAAAATACGACTTAAATAAATTTATTTAAAATTTTAATTATAACATTTGAAGTTTTTACCTTTATTAAGATTATCAAAATACTTTCCATAATTTGATACAAGTTTGATGAGGCACAATTATTTTTCATTTCATAATGCATTGCAATTCCCTTCACCTAACGTGAAAAATAGATTTCTGTCAGCTGCTCGGAGTTGTTTTTTTCCTTCTCTCTAAGCGTAAGGCTAATTAAATCTGTAGCAAAAAATACTCAGTGACCATTGCGGTGCATTTCCGGCTGCTCGGCACGCTCGATTTTCACGAGAGAGTTCCAGGGCGATGACTTTCGCAGATTAAATTGACCCTAGCATTGTTCTTGCGCACAAGCGACGCCCTTTCTTTCCAACTTACGAACAATAATTTACGTGTGTGTTCCAGCAAGTATTTTAAACGTTAAGTGAGTAGCTGGTAATAATTCACTCTAACAAGACGCAAGCATTTTTAACAAACGTGCCTTTCAGACTTGAAATTTCAATTTGACCTTTAACGTCGACTTTGAAAAAAAAACTGGACAAATCAATCACGGCCTAATGAGCTTATTTAGCGTTCGACTGAATAAAAACAGAGCGTTTTATTTTCCATTCGGGTGACGCAACCGGCTCGGGTTTTGCTACAAAGGGATCACTTGATTCCTCCGTGAGTCAGTCGAGAGAGATTATGGCACGCAACTAGCCTTATGAGGTCAACAGCACGTTCCTCTACGTGCACGAGAAAATGATAATTTCGTTCGTTGTGCTTATTGGGAAGCGACTTTCTTTCCACTCGAATGTTAATCATTATTGTTAGTGGACAAATGGAGGCTGACCGACCTTTCTGCTGAAGCGGGTGGCCTCTTCGAAAATGTCGTCGGCGCCGGTCGAGCTGGACGTCGAGCTGCGGCGGCCGACCGAGTCGATCGAGTTGCGCCGGTCGTAGCTCAGCGAGTCGGTCGAAAACCGCCGGTTGAATAAATTCGAGCTGCTGGATGACCAAAGCAATAAGGAGATTTTAAATTGATGCTAATCTTAGGAAGTAAAAATAATAAAATATTTAAGTGCAAATTGATTGATTGTTTTGTTGAATTTAGTAGGTTATAAGATTTTAAATGAAATAAGAACGCGTTTTTTAATGATTTGGGTGCAATTTACGCACATGCATAGAATGTTATTAAATTTGCATATTTCTCAATCATTTTGCTAAGCAAATTAAATATTAATGAACTCAGCAATACCGTAATTAATTGAATGATTATTAGAATGTGCAATGAAATATTTACACTGGAAGTTTGGTCGGTAAAAATAAAAGTTTAAATACTTATAATTTTTCAACTAAAATCGCAAAGTTCAAATTAAATCTGCAAGTTCAATTCAATCTTAATTTTTTCAACTCTTTCTCTGACTCTTAACTTATCCATATTAAATTCAAAAATTATAATTACAAAATAGTTGTTAAATTCATAATATCAATTATATTCCATTAACTTTTAATTTTGCACTAAGACAATAGACCTCAGTGATTCACATGCAAATTTATAAGATCAGATACAATTCTTACACATGACGTGTGACAATTTATACACTATAATAGAAGTTTTTTAAATATAAATTAAAAGAAAATGTAAAATTTAATTAAGAGGGAGGATCAAAATATAAAATAATTGTATGAAAAAGAAATAAATAATTAAAAAATAATATAAAATTTATATAAAATAATAAAATTTTAAATATATAATAATACTTTAAAGAATAATAATATATTTAATAAAATCACACCTTCCAAATGAATCCCTTCGAATGATGGCACTTTGCGGCACCAGCGTTTGCGATTTGGAGAGCGAGTCGCGGCGGATCAAAGTGGGCCCGATCAACTGTTGGTGGGACTTGGCGGGCCCGAGCGACGACCTTCGGTTCATGAGGGCCTGCTGCTGGGCCTGCTGGAGCAGCGAGTCCCTGCGGATGGCCAGCGAGGGCATCGAGCCCCTCCTCGCGCCGTACTTGGCCTGGTGCACCGAGCACCGCCGCGGGTCCATCACCTCCACTTTGATGGGCTGGTGGTACTCGGGGGTGGAGAGGGTAGCGCCGCGGAACATCTCCTCCAGGCGGTGCATCACGTCCTCTTTGTGCGACGAGGAGCGACGTCGTCTGCTCGTCATTGCGCAGCAAAAATCAAGCGCTTTTTTTCCTTCTCAGCCGCTTTCGGGTCCACCGACTGACTGACTGACTCAGCCGCGAGTGGTTTCTTTCTTCTTGGAGTTGTCTTTCCTTTGTGGTCGAGGTCATGTTTGGCGATGGAAGGAGTTGCCTCGATCCGCCGGCTCTCTTCTCATTTCGCCTTTGGATAGAGATGGATCCTAGGCGCCGCCCCCGCCACTAAATTTGTCTCTCTTGCTTTTTTCTGGGTCATTTTGTCGCCGCTCGGTCACAGCCTCCGAGGTTGACCGCGTCACAGGTATGCGACTAGCGGTGTTAATTAGCAACGGACGTCGATCGGAATTGATTGGAACCACCTCGATCGATTTTTTCTTTACCACGCAACAGTTGCCCATTTTGGCAAGTCCAGCTTTTGTTGTTGTTTATTTATAATTAATTATTTTATGTTCTTTAATTTAATTAAAAAGGTGATTTACATAATTATTTTAAGACGCATTATTCAAGTTATTTTGTGTTTCAATTCTTGACATAAAATTTTTTAATTTTTGTTAGAAGATATTTAAAAAAAATTTTCAGAAATTTAACTCGCATCTCAAAATTTGAATATGAAATGAATTATTTGAATTTGAATTTTCTATTTAAATCTGTAGTCATGACAGGTTTCAATAAATAAAACTTATTTTTTTTTCAAGCTAAAAAAATTTGATTTTGTTTATTTTTATAGAATAATAATGAATTTTCTCTACTTATTTTTATAATATTTTATAATATTATAATAACTATAATAAAGATAAAAAAAATAATACCAAAAATATATAATAATATATACAATAATAAAATAATAATTTTTATTATAAATATTTAAAAATTTGTTAATTCGAATACATTACTTTACTTTGAGATTTAAACTGTTACCAAGAGTGTTTTAAATATTGCAGAATCCCTTTCAGCTAAAATATGAAATCTTGGTCCACCCTTTAAGGCAGATTAAATTGTATGCTGACTCAGCACAATTACTGCCTTGCTGATATACAACGGTCTTGTACTTTTGTTATTACCGGCAGAAAACCTTTGAGCTTTTATCTGCACATTCTTCTGTGCCACCATGAGCCTGGCTGTAAATATCAAGGCACGAATAATGATGTTACTTTGTGCATTGCGTCATACGCTTTGATGTTTTTACTTTGCGGATTGTTTCCGAGCGTTGCGCCGATGTTGCGGCAAATTAGCGACAGGCGTGGTTGCGAAATCGTCCGGCGTTGAATAAATTAAGAAAGGAAGGGAAAAATGTCCGGGAGGCGCGTGTGTGCGAATAAATTTATCGAAAGTAGCGCAGTGTGTATTCGCTACCACGCGTCGCATCAATCATTTAATCGTCCCGACGGATAATCAACTTTTCCCAAATCGGTCCTTCGGCGCAATAAATTTGTAAAGATTGTTTGTACTCACATTGATGGTCTCGTATCTCGATTCGGGTCCTGCGTTGGCGTCCGAGATGTACGACCCGGACGGGCCCCTGCGAAAAGTGAAACAAAATTATAAACGTGCTGCTCCTCGTGTATATTTACTTGGACAGATTTACGAGCGTTATTTTTTTATTAGACTGTTGGACCATAATTTACAAACTGGTGTTTCTGCATGCAAATTTTAATGAATCATGCGGCACTTGAAAAAATGAGCACACCGAGGCTTTTATCTTTGTTAATAATTTGAAGTAATTGTAAATCTTACATAGAAGACGCGTACCTGCTGACTTCATTTGAACCATTGAGATTAGAGTGTTGTTGAGCACCATTTGCTGGTCCCAAAGCTCCAGCACGAGAGTTAAGTGTTGAGCTTGCTGAACTGGCACTTCCAGATCTAAAATCACAAGAAAGTAAAGATTTAGCATCAGATATAACCAAAAATGAACAACATTAAATACAAAATTCTAAGAATGGGATTTTTTATTTCTAATAATTGTAAATCATTTGCAAAATTCAATAGATAGATTTAATAGATATGACAAGGAAATAAGTATTTTTATAATTTGCATTATGTAAGAAAAACTATCAAAGATAAATTATCAAAATAGATAATTCAAATATTGAATCAAAACATCTGCTCGCTATTTTAGTTTTAAACAATGAAAGATATAATAGATATTGAAGAATATTGCTTTAAAAATTAAAAAATGATAAATAAAATATTGAAACGACTCCTTGGCTTAGTTTTCAAGGTAGACAGCTTAAAAATTATTAAATTAGATATATGTTCATATTAAAAAAATAGTTTTCAAAAAACGTTTTCTCTGGTTCAGGATCTTTATGAGTTTCAAAGCTTTGGGTGGTGGCTCATTTTAAGCATTAAATTTACTGGCCAGTCACTGAAGACCCATCTTACTCTGATCAAAGATTCCGAAAGTTGCAAATCTCTCGGCGGGGCAAAACAAGAAAGAGCGCATTTAAGCGTGGCGGCGACTTTGTTTTTGTTTACCGGAGAAAGAATTAAAATCGTGGGCTCAATGCAAAAGTTGACGTCCGAGCCCACGTTCGTGCTCATTTTTGATGAGCTGCAAAGCGATGAAAAACCTGCCCACTCGCGGTTTCTAAGCAGATTCTGCCTCGCACGCGTGTCAAATTTTGCTCCTTGTACGGAGAGACGGATGGAGGAGAAATTTCGCGCATCTTTCACCTTGTTTAAAAATACAGAAACGTAGTTCATTTTTTTTTTTTAAAGAAGAGAAACGTTTTTGATTCTACAATAGAAGATTTGAAATTTTTGTTTAAATATTATTTTCCCCCTAAAACAGAATCTAGATGAAGGAATAGTCAAAATAATTACATATAAATAAAATAACGATGGTTAAACATTTAAATATGAAGCGAAATTATTCCATATGAACTGTATGAATTTAGGGTTCAATATATAAAAATAAATATCATTCATTGTTATAGAAACTAGAGATAATGACAGTAGAATTTGAACGCCCAAAAAGATTGTTTTTACATTTATGAGCTAAATGTAAAGCCACGAGTGGAGAACGTGACGCGCACATGTTGAAGTGCTCAAGATGACGAATTTTGTGTCACACCAAAAGTTAAACTTTCCTCGTCAACTTAACACTGCAAAGAAGAAGAAACCGTAAAGAAACACGTCGCAGAAAAGTTGAAAATATTTATAAATCTGGCAGCAAAAACTACTGCTCTCGTTACAACTGGAACTTGCGAAGGTAATAAATACATCAAAATAGTAGGAGGAACAGAGGCGTTATATAGGTTGTCACTCCTGATTGCGTAAAAATATAAGTGCGTGTCCTCCATACTTGTGCAGAGGTTGAATTAGAACCAACTATTAGATTACACCAATCCACCCCAGTAATTAATAATGCTCTTGTCCTTCTCCGTCTGACGTCGAAATAATTACTCGGCTCGTGTATTTTAGTTGATCAAATTTTTCTATATCACTCGGAACGTTACGAAAATACATTTTCTGCAATAATCAAATAATTTAATACGATTTTTATTGACACATATTTAAAATCGAGTAAAACCGACTTTTTCTTCAATTACCGACTAAAATTACAGACCTTTTTTTGTTAAAAGTGGGTTCCTCCGATTTTCAAACAACATTTCCGTGAAATCTTGTAAAAAAAATCAACCAAAATTAGCCAACGACTTTTTGACACCTAAAAACCGACTAAAATGCACAAGCCTTATAATTTATAATTAATGCGCTGAGAGAAGGAATTAAAGGTAGGGTGTTTCCGATTTGCACAAATGATGAGATTTCGATCAGCGAGCCGGGCGTAGTTGAGTATAAAAAGAAATGGCGAAGGTGCACTCAGGCTTATTTATTGTTGTTGCACAGAGTTGCACTTCTCAGAGCTTTTCACCAACCCACTCGTCGATTTATTTATTTGCAATCTAATTGAAGGAAGGCAATAAAACAAGGGAAACAGAAGGTGTTGCCTGTGATTAAGTGGGAAATGAAGTAACACGATTATTTCATTTATATTCTCGCTCGTTCAATGAATCAATCGAGCAAGGACGAATCGTACTACGGAATGTTCTCAGAATAAGTTGGTCAACAAAACTGGATTCTTTCGCCACACTAAAAAAAAGCCTCCTTATTTACCAAACAAGTAGCTGCTCAAGTGCGTGACAGTTTTGTTGAAGCGACCCATACTGACGTCACACCGAAGAGGTGATAAAAAATTCATCGGAGACGCATTGTTTGGTCGTCTGCTTCGGATTATGTCAAATCCTAAACAAACTTGACCTGCGAGCGTTTGTCAAAAAGTTCACTTGAGACACATCCGAGATTGTATGCCTTTGTCTATATTTGATTTGAAAACCTCGCAATAGGTATAAAAAGAGAGAAACGTCTTTAATGAAGATAAGGAGGGACAAAACTCCAAGGTCATCCTACTGTCAGATTTACAAAACAATTACGGTTCTGATTAACAGCTTAAAACGAGAGCTTGTTGACTTAAAATTGCAAACGATTAATTAAAAATTATCTCCTTATCTCTTATAATCTCATAAAAAAGAAGAAAATGTTAAAAATGAATAAAAAATAGAAGTTAAAAATGTTTTTAAAAAGATTATTTTTATATGAGTTAAAATTCAATAGAAATAAAAGTGAAAAATGTTTTAAAATTATTTTTTTAAGCATGAAAATAAAAATTCAAAATGATCTTCAATGGACTGTTGATTTAAAAAAGAATAAAAAAAAAAGTTATTAATGTTTTTAATATGACTGCTTCTAAAATATAATCAATATTATTTTTTTTTCTTTCACTTATATTATTTTAAGTGAGTTGAATAAGAATAAATAAGCACTTGAAAATTTTTAAATGATTTAGTTCAAAATGAGTCAAAACATGTTGTAAATAACTTTAAAAAATTAAATTTTCAAGTTAATTTTTTTTTTTAAATTAATCATGATATATTAATTATATCTTGTAATGGGTGTATATTGCCTTGTGTTACCCAAATTAACTTTTTAATTTAAAAATAAAATTTATACTTTGGATCTGAATTTCAATTATTGGTAACTTAAAGAAATTGGTTAGAGAAAATTGCAAACAATGCTATTTACCGAAAAGATTTGCTAGTTTGGTACGAATGTGCGATTCTCCCGTGCATAGGACACGTCTTCTTGTTTCCAGAGGGACTCGAGGGGCTCAAAGAGCTCCTGGGAGCCCTGCCGGCGCGGGGCACCGTCCTCGCGACGTGCAGCGACATGTCCTCCTCCCACGCTGGCAAAGACACACTCACTACTGATAACAGTCGCGAGTGAGATATTCGCGGGATGTGACGCGCGGCTGAGTTAATTTTTTTCGTCACGCCAGCCAAGAGTGGTTGGATGTCCACCCGCTGCAAGCGTAAAAGCCAAAACCGCAGCGCGACACCTGCTGCTCATGGTTTCGCTCGCTTCTTTTGCAAAAAAATTGATGTGCAGTGGAATAATTTGTGAGAGAAAAGAGCAGGAAGTTCTCAAAATAGCTTTTAAAAAAATAATGACAGATGAGAACCTTGACAAGAAAGAATTATATAAATTAGATTGTGAAACTGTAGATTATTTACATTTCATCTATTTCTATCTTCAGATTAATTATTTGCATATTAAATTAATCGAGGATTTTGATAACAGTTTAAATTTTGAGGTTCGGAACTTTCTAGGTTTTGCATGGAAAATAATTTATAAATAATTAACATTAACTGCGCAATAAGCTTCACATGCATTCTTTACTTGTTAATTAAACTGATTAAAGTAAATATTTCCTTGTTAGCCAGCTTGTCTGAGTAAAGAAATGATCTCATGTGTAGCATCTCCGCAACTAGATATTTGCACCACAGCGATAACTTTTCTCTCTCGCTCGCCCGCAATTGAAGGCGGGACGGACATAAAGTGATATTGATTCCGACACACAAGGTGCTGGAAAGATCCAAGAGGCACCCTTTTCTCTACTTACTTGTGTATCGAATTAACTTTTAACCCGCGCTTGCTTTGCCACGTATTTTCCTGGAATTTGTGCGCCAGCCGCTATTCTGATATAATTAGTTTTAATTCGCCGAGCTCACACCGTTTACGAGGCACTGAACTTGCTTGAACCCCGGCAGGCGGAACTTGCACTAATTTTGTTTAGAGCGAAAAAACAAAACTGAAGCAGCAAATATGGAAGTTTGGCTCAGATTGTTGAAAGACCAACTCTCATTTTCTGTATGTCTGGTGCAGAATGATTAGTTTTAAAGAAAGCTTCACCAACAGGCAAAGCGTTTGTACCATTTGCTTGTGACGGGCATGAGATATATTATACAACTTGACATTTTTACTGGAAAATGTCACTGGCTCGTGTCACTTTGCATATACCGGAGACATTAAAGAAGATGGAGCACTTATTTATAAGGGATAGACCCATCCACACTCTTTTTGATCAAATATGTTTCATTATCATACTCTTAGATAAAAAATCTAGAGAAATATTTTAACCAAAATCATAAAATGGATTGAATTATAAAAAAAAAATGTTTTCCTGGTAAAGCAAACACGTCACGCAAACCAAAAACTCTTTTAAAACGATTATTAATTTATGTATAGATACCAAATTGGCCATACTTATCTTTGAATACGCTCATTTTTTCACCTAAAAATTACTTTTGAGGCCCTTGCACAGATCAAACGTTCCGGGGTCAAAATTTGCCTCCATCAATTAAATTGCTATGTGTGTATTTTTATTAATTATATTTATCTTGTTGAATTTAATTCTGGCTTTTTTTATTCCTGAATATCACGCTGAAAAATTTATTTTCTGCTAAATTGATGAATTTAAGGGCAGAAATCCAGCTGCGGCAGATTTTTCATATTAAAAATCATTGAAATTTTTGTTTATGTTTTTAAAATTTCATATTTATAGAGAAAAAGTGACAATATTAACTTCTAAATTTGACTGTTCAAAACTATTCCTTTTGTTTTTGTTTTTTTCTTCTCATTTTTTTCATTTCTTTCTTATATTTCAAAGCAAAGTTTCCAAATGAGAAAATAATGGAAAAAATTGCAAATAATAATTATTTTGTCTTTAGCAAAAGTGAATTGTGCACAAAACATGCCACTTTTAAGCTTTTCTTTTCCTCTTTAAGAAACCTATTGCAAATTTTCAATTTGAAATTATTTAAAAGTGGATGTGCAGAAATAAGCCAAATTTAAAATGAGTCTACCTTGGCTGACTTTGTTGCTGCTGTTGTTGCAGCTGCTCTGTGATTCGGTTGTCCTGGATCACTCGCTGCTTTTGCCGTTGGTACTCTTTAAAAAGCTCCCCTTCGCCCGTGGGTGAGCTGAGTGTGTAAACATCAGAGCGGTCGCTGAGAGAGTCGCGTCTTGACGACCGAGGCGAATCCTGCACAAGAGGACTTTGCGGGTGTGTTTGCTTGTTGCCATTTGCGCCTCGGTGCTCAGGAGTAGAGGCGACCGAGACTCTGCTTCTGTCGGGACTTTTTGAGCGGGGTCTTGCGGGGGTTTGATGGTCCAGTTTGGCGTCGGCAACCACTTTCTCGAGGATGGCAGGCAATTCGCTGTAGCTCGAGCTCATGAAGACGTTCTCGTCGTTTTCAAACAGCCGATCTACACTTGTGTTCATCATTTTCTTTTCCTGGAAATTAATGATCCGTTTTTAGTCTTCAAAACTTTAAGATAACTGTCATATTTTTAATTAAAAATTAAAAATGTCATATTTTTAATTAAAAATTAAAAATATGAATCTATTGAATGGTGCAATTTTTACTTTTAGATTGCCTTTTTTCTTAATTCATTACTTTTAAATTTACTAAAATTAAATTAAACTGATCCCAATATTTGGGAAAATATTTTATAAATAATAAACTTTCCAATTAAAGATATTTTTCACACCTTATTGCTTAAATGGAAACTAGCAAAGCTTTTTGACATGCTGTTTATGTCTCCTGTTGACATGGTCATGGCACCGATCGAGCCTCGCCCGCCAGACGAAAGCCCGAAAGGCAATCCGTCCAATGAGGGCAGCAGTGACCTCGACATGATGTCCGCCGACCTTGGTCTTGTGAATGGCATCGCCGAATGGGGAAATGTCTTGGGCTTTATAGGGGTGATCAGCATATGTTCAGTCCAGGAGGTTTCAAGAGAGGGTTTGTCGAGCCGCTCGACGTCTACGTTCAAGGTCCTCTGCTCGAATGGGCAAGCGAATGTGTCCGCAGGGATACTTTGCAGCCACGACAGCAAGCTGAGATCAGAGTCGCTGAAGCCTGTGCCACTGAGCAGACTAGTGAAGTGCATTTCGCTGCCAGAGCTGCTCATCGAATCTTTTCCTGTAAAGTTTCATTTTTCAGTAAATTACCAATTTTAAATAAATTATTAATTACCAGTGCTTGTGGCTTTTTGTTGGCAGTAGGAAACACAGCTTTCGTAGAGGATGCCTTTGATGACGAGTTGAATGAGACGGTCGTTCTTAGCAGAAAGGGGCCCCGCCTCGTCGCCCATTCCCTTCCTGTCTCCGGGCAAAAACTTTTCCACAAGAGGGAGCACCTCTTTGAAGCACTGGACGCGCGCGCCACTCGGGTTCCAGTCTTTGTAGGCAAGGTGGTCCGTCAACCTGGGCAAGGTCAGCAGAAGACAAAGGTTCGAGTAGTCCTCCTTGGTGGGCGCGCACTCCTCCAGCTCGGCCAGCGCCTTGACCACCTCTTGGACGGCCGTGTCCATGTTGCTGGTGGTGACGCCCGCCTCGGACTTGATGCAGAGGAGCTCCACATACTTGTGCCGCAGGACGATCCAGCGGAAGAGTTTCAGGTTGAAGGTGTCAATGGCCTCCAAGGGCTGCACAAATTCCATTACATCGTCCCATTGACCGTCAAGAATGAGCTGAAAAATTAGAGATTTTTAAAATTCATTGTAAAATAAATCTAGATTTTAGAGTTAAAAAAAAAAATGACAGAAAATTTTTCAAAAATTATTAAACTATTACTTCAAAATGAGTACTTTTCAGCACGCTTTGTAAAAATTAATATAACATTGAAGGAAATAACACCAAGATGTTAGATTAAATCTTGATTTTTTTTATTGGGGGAAATTATGTGATTTTATGGGCACAATAGGCGCCTTTTTGGATTATTTTTACGGCTGATATAATTGATGATTTTATTTAAGTGTTTTTATTGAACTTTGTTAGTCAATTTTTTAAATGAACTATTTTGTAAAAATATGTGATGTTGAGTGAAATTTGGAATTCAAAAATAGGTAAATTGCTGATTTTAGTGGCAAATAAGTTGGAATTTACTCAATTAGGTGCAAAATATTTGAAATAATTAATAATATGTGTTTTTTTTTTTTATCAAATAAGGTGATTTTAGGAGATTCTGAATCGTCAATTTTAAATTGAGAATAACATATTTTGCCTTTAGTAGCATATTATTATTTAAGTTCATTTTTTACAACTATTAGGATAAAAAGGTGATCAACAATTTTTCCTGTTTAATCATAGTAAATCATCAGAATTTCCAATGTAATAGAAAACGGATCAAACTCATAAAAGCCCACACATGAACCATTATTTCCCATTCGATTTCCATCACATTCTACTTTACGTCTCACTCGAAACCCATCTCATCTCCCATAGTACGAGGCACTCTATCCCCTTCTCACTTACACACGCTCTCGGGCGCAAAGCAATGCAATTCCAGCGAATTCTCACCTGTCTGAGGAAGAGGAGATCGTCGCTGTAGACGCCGTTTATGACACCCGTCTCGCGCTCCAGGCTCAGCTGCGAGATGTGCAGCTCCCTGTTGTGCAGAAACTCGAGGGCCAGACGGACCACGTCCTCCTCGCGGAGAGACAGGTGCGCCGACGGCATCACGTAGCGCACCCTTAATCTGGAAAAATGAAGAAGAAAAAACACTCAGATTAATGAATTTTCATCTTTAAAAACTTATCCATCTTTATTTTAGACAATTAGACAAAAAAATAAATTAAAATAAAATTTTTGTAAAAATTCACAACGATCTTAAGATTTTTTATAATTTTAAATACTAAAATTATAATGATTTTGGAAAGGAATTATCACTCTATTTTAAAAAGGTCGTTGATGTTTTCGATCTCTTTTTTTTTGACAAACGATTTTACTCATTGGACTTTGAGTGACTTGTGAGGTTGACTAATTGCAGGTTGACTAAGCGCATCTCGTGAACCCCACTTGGGAACACATAAAAGTACATGTATGTACATATTTATTTGCATGGAGAGCATTTATTTAATGAGATCGATCAGATTTATTGATGAGAATGCGGTGGGCCAAGCTAGCTTTGCCTCGCCTCTTGCATTATCAGCGCCGGCACAATGCCCTTGACGACCCACATTATTATTTGCCGTGTAATTTCAACCCCCGTTCCGAAAGGTCACACCGGCGATATTTTAGCAGGCAGGGCGGGGCGCGCGAACGACGCAGTAGACGAGATGAACTACGACCGCCTAGGTGTTCCGAATGTCATCGTCGGCGGGACAAGACCAAAAGCAAATTAATGAATGCAACGCTCATGCAGGGGAAGTGCAAAAAAATTGAGTCAGTGAGACCAAAATGAAGTGCAAATTTTTTATTCAAAAAATAATAATTCTTGGAAAAGAGCTAGAAAAATTTCTGCAAACAAGTTATTCTTTTACAATTATAAACATTATATTTTTTTTTATTAAATATTTCATTCTAATTATTTAACTGAGTTAATTATTATCATTAAAGTTAATTTTCAATTTATTTAATTGTTGCTTATAACTAGTAATATTACATTGTTGTCTCACACTAGCGTAAGCTTCTCATTTGCAATTGAGAAAAATATTTTTTATTATATCATGCAGAGAGAAAAGGAAATTGAGGAATACCTACAATATATTTAGAGTAACATTTAATTTTTTTTATAATTTAATTTAATACTTAGGTAGCTCTTTAATAAAACCGAATTAAACCAAATTAATTGAAAAGAAACCACATATACCAATGACATACGTCTTTCGACTTGAGATAAATTGTGTCATGAAATTATAAATATTAATTCAAGGAATGAATTCACCACGGCTCACAGACTCTAATCTTTGTTGAATATGTTACGCAAATTATTGAAATCATTTTTTTTAATATCGTTAAAATTAAAATATTTAAACTGCAAAAAAAATATAATTAAAAATAAAATAATAAATCGTTACTAAAAATTACACTTTTTAACTTTATAAAAGCAATCGTTTCATTTCAAACTGCATTTCAAAATTTTACTTGAATGATGACACAAGGAAAATGTGACTTTCATGAAAATTAAGTTTTAAATTTTTAGGACGAAATATTACGATATTACCAGCAAAAATCCTTTCAATGAAATCAAAATACTTAAATAAAGCTTGAATATTAGCTATTCTTGCAAGAGGCTTTCAAGAAAAATGTCATTTTTCGATAAATTTTTTCAAAAAAATGCATCATTTGTGAAGATAGATCAAAACAAGATCGTCTCTCGAGCACTTCCCCAGGTGTATATAAAAGTGTGTGCTCTGGCGACGGGAGTGAAACACAGCACCGTGCGCACAAAAGGCGAATCGTGTTCTGGGAAGTGGCAAAAAGGCTGTGTGCAGACTCAAAGTCTAAAAATATATCATGCACTCCAGGGCATCGGCGACTAATTACAAATGGAGCCGGGCAGATTAAAAGTTAGGAATTGCCCGAGCGGAAAAATGACAAAAGTTTGTTCCTGCGGCCGAGCGGCATTGACAGAAGCGAGCAAAACGACACGTCGCGGCTATTTTCCGTCCCACGATAAATTGTAATTTCTGTTGATTTACGAGCTGGGAAACTCGGCGGATTTGTCAAAACACCGCAGATAAATCGCGGTAAATGCGAAATTATATGCAGATTTATGTTCAGCGACAAAAATATCACATTTCCTAAAAGGAATGTTTACAAATAAAACAATTAGTCACCGAATAATGTTCTTCTCATCCTCATTCTGCGGATCCGCAAAGCTTCGTTTGCAGAATTCCATATTTCACCACAAGAAACGGCACCACTTTTAAATCGCAACTCGCGATCAGAATGTTCGGATGTGGCTCGTTGGCTTTTTTATCTCTACAAAGTGCAAACGAAGTAAAGCCGTTCCTTCACGACAGCTCATCAATTTCTCAGCCGGGCCTGCAATCTGCGCACTGGCCTGACACAAACAATAAATTTTAAATAAAGGCTCGCGGGTCAACGAGTGGAAAATTTGAAAAATACGCACTGCTGTGCTGCAGTGAAATAATACTTTTTTTAATTGAAATGAGTTTTTGTTTAAATTATACAAACTTGTGGTTAAGAATAAAACATACAATTTTTTTGAAATAAATGCCAGGAATTTCAAAATTTTAAGTTCACAAAATTAGGAATATATTTAATTATGATAACAGTGATATCACTCTTAAGATAGTATATAAATTTATGGTCATTACGCCACATACCTACTGGAAAGCGTTCCATTTAAATTTCATTTAAAAACATAAATGTTATGTAGAACTGGATTTTTTATTTATTATTAATACAATGAGGAATACTATTCATTCATTATTATGGTTCCAAGATTATATGAATTTAAACTTAAAAGATTTTTTATAACAAAATTAAGAAATAACTTTAAAGATGTTATATTATAAATAATAAAGGGTAGATGAAAATCAAAATATATAATCAAATTAAAATTAAATTTTATAAAGATGAGATAAAAATTTGTTGAATACAAATTTTAACTTTTAAATTTGTACACATTTCATATTATTACTTCCATAAAATTAAGAATACAGTTTGATACTTCAAAAAGCTCCGACAATTTCACAAAATATGAAAGCTTGAAAAAAAATTGAAAAACTCATAGAAGTCAACAACCTGACCCATTATTTTCACTAATTTCTCATCCAAATTGATAGTTTGGAAACAAGATATCCCAGATATTAGTGCCATAAGGTCCCCTTTTTTGGGTCAATTTTTCTACAAATATAGTTTTACTAACGATTACTTTTTTTAAATTATTTATAATTTTTACACAAAAACAAATCGACATGAAGTAAAATTGTTGATGATTATGTAAACATTTTTATACAGAATTAAATGAAAGCTAAAGAGCAGAAGTGCTATTTTCTTACTCTCGATTTCGATGGTCATGCAGTTTTACGACCAACCTTCGGTTCCGGACCGGTCTTTGCATCTTTCCGCCGCGTTGGAACATGTGTGGCCGCACTAGCAGAGCGATCCGCTCCGTTTCACATGCCGCGAGAAACTACCCCGATCGTCAGTTTTGGGGAGCGAGTATGGATCTGTGCAGCGAAAACCACCCTCGAGAGCGCATGGGTGTTTTGCCGCCACCGCCCTTCTCTCGCTCCAGCCTCCCTTCGTCCAAACACCTTCTCGGAATATGAACAAAGACGCCGCGCAATTTGCTTCAGCAAACTCGGTTGCTGCGAATTATGTTCCGCGAACAAGACTCGTTGAGGGATTAAAGCGGATGAGTTGGAACGAGTAAAAGCACAAATCTCTTGCGTGGGAAATGCATTTTATGACGCAGTTGTCCGATTTCCCGCCGATTTCAAAACCTGTGTGATTTACATTTGTGTAGAAAATTCAAATGCCAAAATATAAATACTGGGAAATTTTATAAATTAATGATTTTATTGATTTTCATTTTTTTGGTTGAGTTGCTGATTTTAAGTTTCCTAAATTTTGATTGTAAAAGAGCCTAAATTTAAAGTTCCATATGATTTGTGAAATTAATATTGCTTATTTTTTTCAATTCAATTCATTTTGAAATGAATGTATTTTTATGTAAATTCTAATTAATTGAAAAATCTAAGAGCAGTAAAAGAGTAATGAATATTTTTTTAAATCTACAATTTTCATAAATTAATGGTTGAAACTGAAAATCTTTTTATAAGATGTATTTTATTTAGGTTTATTCTAATTCATTTAAATCAACTTAAAATCACGTGAATTTAAATTTAATTTTCTGATAATTTTCGGTCTTTGGTTTTCATAAATCGTGAAATTGAAAATTATTCAAACTGTGCATATTGGAGCACTCGAAATTGAGTCGGCTTTACAATTAGCATAGCCGCCGTGTCTCGTCTTCTTTGACCAACGTGAAAAGCAATAGTGAGCATGCAAAACATGAAAGCTGCGATAATTATTCATGTCAGTAGGTCTGGTAGATGCTCATTGAGCAGCACATTATGCCGCTCAAAGTGTCGCTGGTTCTTTCTTTTTCATGTACTTGCTTGGTGTCTGCCCATGTAATGCTCTCGAAAGTGCATCGGGCGCTTCGAAGAAGAACAACTGCGATTGAACGTTTGAGTCTCTTTTTCTCTTTCACTTCGACCGACGGTGATAAATGCGAATAAGTTTTGACATTTTCTTCTCTATATGTTGGGTCAGTTAAGTATAACGGTCGAAAAAGAAGCGACTATTTTGGAAATTTTTCTTTAATCTTGCTATGACGTCAATGATTTACATTCGATATATTTGCCAGAAAGATCTTTGCATAAAAAAGACAATCTGACAAATGCTATAGAGTAGGCTTGTCTGGTACCGGTTTAGGCAGTTTTATATTTGACGGGGATAATATTTCTATTATTTTCTTTCTTTAAAAGATCTTCTTAATGAAAATAAATTCTTCTTAGAAAAATCCTATGTCAAAACACAGCGAAAGCACAGTTCAATTAATTTTGCCAGGATGAATAATAGATTAGTCTCCAGAAAGCTGAAAGGCAAAAAAGAAGCTGGTTAAAAAAATAATTTATTAACAGCACCTGATTATGTTAAATTTATCAAGTGATCAAAAGTGATAGTTTTTAATTACTAAAAATGCCTTAACGAAGAACACTTCTCAAATTTTTCTTTCATAATTATGGTTAGGTCGCAGAAAATCATGAAAAATACAAATGCACAACAAAATTAGATATTAGGCAATATCTTGACAAGCATGCAGTGCAGGTTGCATTTCATAAAAAATAAAAATTATGATCTGCTGCGGCCAAAATTGGCTAAAAATATTTTTTCTTTTAATAAGGTAATTTATTCAAATCGAATGATCCAAAAAAAATTGACAACTTTTGTTATATAAGTTGAATAAATTTTCAAATTGATAAAAATAAATAATTTTAAAATCAAACAAATCAACAAAAATTTTTGTTGATTTTTGTTCAGAAATAGACTGACAATAAAATAGAAAATGAAATGTATGACAGACTCAAAGGCAACCTATCTTCGTTCAAACGCTTTTCAGGCCAAAAGAAAAAGCACTCATTAGTTAAGAATAATGCAGCAGCGAGTTGTTATTTTTTGCGTCGCCATCTGGATAAAGAAAGAAAACGCGCCGGCATTTCTCACTTTTGTGTCCATCCAGCATCTACCTGTGGCACAATTTCTCTCTTTTCTCGTAAGAAACGTGCAGCAGGTCAAAAGTGCAGAATCGCCATTACGAGGCTCGTCAAAAATGCAAGCAAAGCTCTCAGACATGTTTTTCACTATTATTATTTGCCCCCTTTGAGACGCGAGTGCTTTCAAGCGGGATGAAAAACACCATTTTGCATCGGGCTGAGATTACGAGCCGGATTTCATGCAGGGGCACGTTTCGCTTAGGGTTTTTATGGAGTTTGATGAGAGCCTCCGTCCCGTTTTTCCCTTTGACGAGTGTTTGCTCGGCGCACTCGGAACACACGATGTATCTTCCTGGAAAATATGTTTGCCTTGTGGCGAACGAACGAAAACGCGTCGCGCCGTAAATCGCGATTTCTTTCCGAGAGATGTGCTGAATTGACACCGAAGCCAAATTGCAACTTTTGGCTCGGTGGAGGGATTTTTAATACTTCGCGTCGTCCCGAAAGATTACTCTGGATATCCAACCCTCGAATGGATCAGCAAAAAAAAATAATGTTGTGGCACAAAAGGGAAACCAATCTTTTACAACTTGATAGGTTGCCAATCGTTAAGTCCATGTCAAACAAACTACTATTTCTACAAGTTGACAAATAAGAATGGAAAAAAGATTGAAAATCTGTCAGTTTTTTTCTAAAAATAATTGTTCTTATTGATAAGAATTCAACAACCAGTGAATTTTTCGACGACATAATCATATTTAGAATAGTTAAATAGTTATTTTTTTTATATAAATTTTCAATTAATTCTTCAATGATAATTTTCAGTACTTCCGAAATTTAGAAAATTATTAAAAATTTTCACACTTCCAACCTTGAATTTTTAAAGATCTACTCACGTATTGTAGAAAGAATCGCTCTGCGCAACACCATGGTTGGTGAACATCTTTACAATTAAACAAAACTCTGAGATTCGAACTTTTTGCGCTGCGGTGTCTACAAAGTTTGAACAATCAATGAGACGGTCTTGGTATTATTTTCACGCTCGGTTAGATAATGAGACGGAGATGATCCCGCGAGAGCGAAAACAATGGGTGGCCGCGCCCAATTCATTTCGCTGTCTGCGCCCCACTGTGTATTTATCCGGCGCCGAAGTAAAACAATGCCTTGGAGCCGCAATGAATGTATATTGAATCGTAATAACATGTCGGGAGATTGAATAAATCACGTTGCGAAATTAATGCGAATGCAAAAAGTCTATCAATCAAATCAGATTAATTCAAATAGATGCGGTGCAAAAAGTTTTTTAAAATGTTAAATTTAAAATATATTTGCTTCCACTTTTTACCTAAAAATTTTATAAATTTTTAAAAACTGTCTTTTTAAACTTTGCAACATAATTAATTGTTATTAGATTCTTTTTTTAATTTTAAATTGACTTGTTGATGAAATAATTGAAAATGTAATTAATTTGAATATAAGTTAAGCTGAAAATTGCATTAACGAAAAATATTATTTTAGATTTTTCGCCCTTACATTTAGACTTTCAGAATTATCAAATTTAGTAGAGCACTGAGAACCTGCTGGGCATTTTTATTAATTTCTTGATGATAAACTACTGTGGTCAAAGAAGCTAATGTTTACCTAATCACATTAGAATAAGAGTAGTGAGAATAAAGCTGATTATCATATTTTCCATTATTTCTCGGAATTCCGAAATCCTGCATAAATTACCATCTATAATATTTTAAACACTCAACATATCTCTCAACATAAATTATTTATCAATTCCAGTAATTTGGAAGTGAAATTTGAGATGCAAATAATAACTAATAAAAACTCTGCACGAGTTGAAAAAAAGGAACGTTTGTAAATCTGTGAACTAGATTTCCTAACTATTGAGATACTTCGGAGATTTTTCTTGGGCCGGCAAACGCGTAGCATCACCACAGATAAGTCAACGACCGCCGGAGTCATTAAAAAGAACCAAACACTATGCTAGAAAATGCGATATTTCGAAAAACCTGTTCCTACTCCCAACTCGACTCACCGGTCTATGGTGTTTCCACTCGACCACGCGACCATCCTTCAAAGTAGAATATTTTCGCGTCCAGCAGATCAAAATTTACATATCACTCTAGTGGTTTGACACTGCGAAACACACACCGCACTTGAACTATGCTGGGCCTAGTTGGGAAGGAATTCGAGATTAGTGCGAATTTCTCGTCCGAAGTAGAGGAGTCGGAGGTCCAGACTGCGGCCCGACCGGCCGCGTCGTTTACAATTAGTTAGAAAAGAGTGAAATCTGTGGGGCGGGAGAGTTGGGAGGAGGAGCAGTTGTTGCGGGATCATCGCTTTTTATTTGCTTTCGGTTGGCAATTTACGAAGTGACGAAAGTGAAATTTTGTTCAAAAAAAGTGGTATGCTTGCGTAAAAGTTGATCTCTTAATTTGAATTTGAAATCTGAAATGTCGTTGAAACGAAAGGAGCAGCAGCTTTCATCAAGTCTAACTAAGATGTAGGATTCAATTTTTCATAAATTTAATCGTGTGCCAAATTAAGAGGTGAATTGGCGACCAAAAATTTCAGATTTAAATATTGCGTTAAATTTAATTTAATTTTAATAGAATACAAGTTAATTTTGGTCACATAAGCTTGTTTAAATGAATTTAATTTAATTATGATCTGATGAAATAATAATTTTCCATAGAAAAATTTAACATCAGATTTTTATGTTATCCAATTAATTTGAAAACTTACAATCAATAAAAGAGGAAAAAGTAGTTTGAAATAATTTTTCTGAAAAACCCTTAAAAAAATGTATAGAATTTGTTCACGTTAAAAGGACTATTTTCCTCCTCCTGCCAAATTATAACACATAATTTAAGTTCTTTTTGGAAAAAAACGTAATTGGAAATTTTAATTTTTTCATCTGCTGATTTAAAGCAGTTTGAAATTAGAAAATTTGAATTTCGAAAAAAATTCTAAAAATTATTTATAACAAAATTATTCAGAATTTGCTCAGATAAAACGATAAAAGAGACTATTTGCTATTCTTACCAATTTATAAGACACATTAAAAGTTCCTTTTGAAATAAAAATAAAAACTCATATATAAACGGAAATTTTAATGTTATTATCTGTTGATTTAAAACAGTTTGAATAAAATATTACGTTAGCAAATACCAGATGAATATCACGCATTCTTGCAATAACAATTTTCCTTCCCCATTTTTCAACTAGCCTGTTTACGACCATAAAATTGTAGCCGACCGTTTTTACACATTTATTCCGCGCACGCCTATAAAAGTGTTTTATTTGCAAGCGTCATGAAGACATGTTATAAAAATGAAGAAAAACTGTTGCTTTTTTGCACGCGTGAAAAAATCGCTGCCTCGCGCATATAGCGGTGAAAACTACTTTGCTCGCTGGGCAAAAGAGATCAAAGTAAAAAGTATATTTTTATGCACCTATACAGGCGAAAGATGTAATTGGTGCACTAAACCACTTTCAAATTTTAATTTGGCCTGGCACAAAAAATTTAAACCGGAGTTTGATGATTTGAAAGGTGTCTGCCGCAGGTTTAAATTATGATGCACGTCTTTCTCAAATTTATTTCACACAAAAAAAGAAATTTTCATTGCTCTTCAGAATTTATAACTTCTAATTCTAATCACGCTCCAAATTCGGTGGCTTTTTCATCAGAAATTCTGCTCGTTTTACTTCACACGGCTTATCATTTGTTGTTTGGAATTTCATTTCTCTCGACCCCGTCAGATTATCATCTTGGTTGAGATTCGTTTCCAAATCCTCGCCTTTAATCGCATCTAGGCCGGCAACTTTCAGCAAATAAAATTATCCTCTCGCCGCGCTATTAAAAACTGGGGCCAAAAATTTCGCCGGACTGCTCATCCAGATAATTTGTATATTATTGGCTTCACAATCTCCTCTTGATATACAGAATTCTGATGTTATTCGCGGCAAAGAAAAACTTTCTTCAGATAAAAGGAATTTTATTATTATTATTATTATTGTTCTTTATTGTATTATGGAATGTAATCACATGTAATGTCTCCCGTGCGACCCACCCATTTACAATTTTGTCAAATGAAACACACAGCAGGGAAAAAAGAAATTTAACATATTTACAAGTTATTTTTGTAATTTACATATTCCTCCTCAGTATAGAACTTGTGAAAACTAACAAACTTTTTTAACAAGCCCACAAACTGAGGGAATCTCAACTCCAATCGAATAGATACAGGCAAATTATTATACAAGCGCGACAAGCAAATGAGCGGATTTTGTCTCGAAATAGCACACGTCTGGACCGGCACGTACAACTCGAACTTTTCGCGCGTCTCATAGGCATGCACATCTCGCGTTTTAACAAAATACTGAGGGTATTTACGCACAAATTTACAAGCCTCAATCAAGTAAATGGAAAACAGTGGCAAAACATCAAATTTTTTAAAAAGAGGCCGGGCCGAACAAACAGGCGTCGGACCAGGCCAATACCGCTCGCCGGCCATCGCACGAACAAGGCGCTTTTGTGCCATAAAAACAAGATCTCGTGCCTGCTCTGATCCACCCCAAATTACAATGCCATACTGCATAATGGAGTACGCATAAGCATAATAAATCATGAGCAAGTGCTTTTCGCTAACCAACTTCAACAAATTATTTACAAGGAAAACAGCACTATGCAACTAAAAAAAGTCCACAGATGTGAAACTCATTTGGTGATTTGTCCAGGTATGGAAAAAACTATATTTAAAAAGGATGGATTTCACTTCATTTATTTTGCATACTCATTACTTGACGAATGATTAAAATTTTGTTCAAGATTTTTTTGGAAAATTTCAAAATCATCTTTAAAATTTAATACAAAATGATGAAATTCTCAGAAGTGACATTCTGATTTGCTGCCAAAGTTCAAAATCGTTTCTCAAAGAAACAGTTTTCAGGCAGTTAATTACATGTTTGTGGTTTCCTAATTGCTACTTTTTCACGCCGTATTATTATCACGAATGTTCATATATCAGTAATCAGAAACTCAAGATTTTCTTAGAGAAATTTTATTTGTAATTTCTATTATGATTATTTATTCTTTTAAACTTGAAAAACAGAGACCGCAGAAAGATGAAAATGTTAAAAATGTCCATAAAGTGAAAATCTATTAAAAAATAATTAATTTTAATGGTAAACAATTAATTAAATATAAAATCATCAAGCGTTTATTTTACATTATTTGCATTGTTGTATTAAAAAAAAATTAGCAGAGATGAAAATCTTCAATCCTGAACTTATTAACTGCTATCAATTTAACAAAAAAGTTTGGTGGAAAAAAATTATGGTTCTCTTGCATGGCTGATTGTGAGGAAGTGTTTGGTCTTTGCCAAAAGCTCAAGCTTGATGGCGCGATTGTTGGTGCGATAAAAAGAAATTGGACGCACGGGCCGCGGTGAAAAGGATGGTCGGCGGCGGCGGCGAACGGGGGCCGGCAGATGCCAAGCAGAAAACGAGTTTATCGACCTTGCTGCTGGTGCCTTTGACTCACTTGCATTCATTTCGCTCCAATCGAAGCAAACTCACCTGCCCGCCGCCGACAACAACAACAGTATTTTTAAAGAGGCGATTAAAGCGTTTCGAGCTCAACGGATTCATGCCTCGGGAGAGAATTCCAAATCGAAAGTGGACGTTTACTTTTTGTGACGCTCTGAGCCATATTTTGACTTCATAAATCGACTTTTAAAAGGGTTTAATTGACACCAGCCTGGGGCAATATTTAAATTGGATATATAAAAAAATTAGGTAGTTAACGTCTGATAAGTTTCTCCTTTTTTTGCTCGTGTTTCATGTAGCAAAAATTTAAGTTACACTTTTAGAATATTGAAATTAAATTCCAGTAGCAGAAGAAGACAATTTTAGCAATCTTTGCAAATATATTGGAAATTGTTAAAAATACTTGATTCAACAATTCTAAATAAAACTTAAAACAAAAATGATTATAAAATTAATTAATCAAAGAACAATTTGAAAATGGAAAGCAGCGAAATTTCAGTTTATTAAAATCCGTGGATCTTTTTGCATTTGAGCAAATAATTATTTCTCCTAACAATAAGAAGCATGTTGCATTTGTCAGTCTTCTCTTTGCATAATTTTCTGGTAAAAAGGTCGAGGCAACAGTTTGCATTCTTACTTGACCTTCTATCTTTTAAAGAAACAAGCATTAATCGGATTTGGACATTCCATGCTCTACATTACTTTCATTTGCGTGCGATTCTTTCTGTTCTCACACCCCATGCCCAAATTTGAAGTTAGCCGATTGAGATTTTCACAGCATAACAACCATGACTTAAAAGCAACACCCCTAAATTTTTTTGAAAAATTTCCAAAATTGCGGGTTTTATGGGACATTTTGAAAAAATTAAAAAACCTAATTTTCTCGCGTTCTATTGATCGTAGAACAAAAATCCGGGTATGGTTGAATTTGTCTTGACGATTTCTACAAGTTTGCTGTTGAGTAAAAAGTTGTAGGTCAAAGTTCAAGGTCATTTTTCATGACCTCAAATTTTCAAATTCAAATTTGAAAATGGGCCGCACGTTTTAAAAAATTTTTGAGATTGCCATTCGATTCCTCATGAAATTTTACATAAAATATGTCAAAACTGGAGTGACGTTTTTCTTTGTTAAATTTAAAAATAAAAAAGAATATTAAAAAACGTGGTTTTTAGTGCCTCCGCAGGCAGGGCCAACATTATGATCGCTTTTAACGTCGTCCCTGATCATTTTAGGTAAAAAGTGATAATGACAAAAGTTAATGCCCACGTCAAGTCAAATCGAATGGTGTATATATTGATGGCATTTGGTGACCTTCAGGTCAAAGGTCACCCAAGTCGGTGACCTGAGGTCACCTGACCTGGATGTGTGATACGAACTTAAAAAGGTCTTGTTGAGAGGATAATTTTGGTCACCAAATTTTGGTCTGTACCTCAACCACAAACCGATTAATTGTGTTTTTCATTAATTCAATGCACAATTTTCAACACAATTAATTTTAAAATTATAATTAATCGGCTTGTGGTTGAGGTACAGACCAAAAATTGGTGACCAAAATTATCCTCTTAACGAGACCTTTTTAAGTACATATCACACATCCAGATCAGGTGACCTCAGGTCACCGACTTGGGTGACCTTTGACCTGAAGGTCACCAAATGCCATCAATATATACACCATTCGATTTGGCTTGACGTGGGCATTAACTTTTGTCATTATCACTTTTTACCTAAAATGATCAGGGACGACGTTAAAAGCGATCATAATGTTGGCCCTGCCTGCGGAGGCACTAAAAACCACGTTTTTTAATATTCTTTTTTATTTTTAAATTTAACAAAGAAAAACGTCACTCCAGTTTTGACATATTTTATGTAAAATTTCATGAGGAATCGAATGGCAATCTCAAAAAATTTTTAAAACGTGCGGCCCATTTTCAAATTTGAATTTGAAAATTTGAGGTCATGAAAAATGACCTTGAACTTTGACCTACAACTTTTTACTCAACAGCAAACTTGTAGAAATCGTCAAGACAAATTCAGCCATACCCGGATTTTTGTTCTACGATCAATAGAACGCGAGAAAATTAGGTTTTTTAATTTTTTCAAAATGTCCCATAAAACCCGCAATTTTGGAAATTTTTTCAAAAAAATTTAGGGGTGTTGCTTTTAAGTCATGGTTGTTATGCTGTGAAAATCTCAATCGGCTAACTTCAAATTTGGGCATGGGGTGTGAGAACAGAAAGAATCATGCAAGCATGAATTATAATTAGGATTTTACTGCATTCAAAACATGATGTCTTATATTATAGGTTTAGAAAATTGTAGATCACAATTCAATTGTTTGCAATTAATTATAAATAAAAAATATTTCAAACTTTAAAATAAAAAGTGCATTTTGATAGTCTCTTTCAATGTTTCAATCTTTTTAATTGTCTTTTATATAAAATAAAATTTTAATTGGAATGAATTATAAAATCAACAATTAAAAACTTGATTGAATTTTATGAATCTAAGAAATTGAATATAAAAAATGTATTTGTAACAATATGGACAAATAAACAACAATAATAATAAAAAAATAAAAAATATTGATAACTTCCGTAAATTCTTCAACTGCACAAAGCAATTGTTACCAAATTTGTTTACAAACCTAATTAGTTTTCAAAAAACGAAAAGTACTTTAAAATTATTCATGAGCATTTATTATTAAATTTTAAACTGTTTAAAGCTTTATTACTTTATAAAGACTTTAAAAATATACGTTTTTTTTGTTGTTGATAAAATGCTGATTTAGATCAAGAACGATTTCCATGAATTCAACATCAAAATAAATATCGATTCATAATAAAATAGTCGGTGTGCCAGCTGGACCCGCTTGAGTTTGGCTCATCTTCAGCAAAGCCGCGTATGCAAAGTGCGGTTCAACCCGTCCCAAAAGTGGCCATAGAATGCTTTACCCTCTCAATTGCATGAATAAAACAGCCAAATGTAAGGATGTGGTGCAAAAAACACTGACCTTTTCATCGCTTTCTGAGAATCACGGACGCAGCTGCCGAGCCGAGATTGCTTTTTGGCTCATCGCTATATTAACTAAGCATTGATTGACTCCGGCGACACTAGGGGGACGTTTCCGTTTTGGGTCCTTATTTGTTCACGCCTGCCTTGATTAATGCGCGACACTCGCTATTTACGGAAGAAGAAGAAAAGGTTTCCAAGTAGGAATATAACCGACAACTAGCGTGGAATAGTAAGCAGCGGTGCGCGTCTAGCGGCGGTTTCTGCTTAATGTGTTGCTCAAGTTAGCGCATGTCAAAACAATATGTCACAAAACGAATGCTAAATTTAGCGCCGACACAAGTTTATAATAATACGTTGATTTGAATTGTAATGCGGTGTCATTAATTATTTTTTTAATATTTGATAATTCAGCTAAATCTTTCTTCCCCATAAAAAAAAAACAAATTTAATTATAATTTTTTTTCTATTATTTAAATAAACAACATATATTATTCCGTAAAATCAATAATTTAAAATGAAATGAAAAAACAAAACTGAAAATAAATAGACGAAATGAGTAGATTTTTTACTGAAAATTGAACTTATCCTAATTTACTCCAATTTTCATCTTCAATAAATAATAATAAAGTCATCCTCTTTACAATTTCCCAGGAAATACATAAATATTTTTTCCAGCTCAAAAATCGTTAATTATTTTAATTAATTTGCACTGTTGCTCATTTGTAAGATTTATTTTACATCAAATCAATAACAACAAATCTGCGTTCTAAATTCATGAAATTTGCATAATTATATATTTTTTTTAAATCAGAAAAGATAGTATTTTTATGGTATCTATAAATAAAAATATTTAATCATGTGATATTAATTCGATTTTAAAGCTTATTTACGAATTCAGTGTGGCTTTAATTCTGCCATTGATTAACCGCTTGAAATTAAATCCTATTCCACAAAAACCACAATCAATTATCAAATGACTGATCCTTGCCAGATCATTTTATCAAATTCAATTAAAGAAGGAAAATTATTGATGTCAAATCAAAACTTCTCAACTGAAGTTTTCAATAAAATTGGAATCCCCTCCACTGGAATTAAAATTTTCAGACAAAGATATTAATTTTTTTCAGCATTTTATGATTGATTTTCAATTGTTTGAGTTTACATCTCTTTGGTTTCCGAACGGCAAACAAATCAATCATTGTCAGCATTATCATCGAAGCGAACTATTGAATAAAATCTACTCGGTATGATTTTTATACGTTGATATAGACAATTATTAATGATTTCCGAAACCACAGTGACCGCACGATATAAAATTGATCGGCGCAATTGAGAGCTTTCGAAACTTCTTTTTCAGCAGGTGCATATCAAATGAATTATGCACGAGGTGCTTCACTTAATCCGCCGGTCAAGTTCAGTAAGTTCACGATCGGGGACAACTTCTGTGTTTTCAGCGCAACAAGGTGCAAAACGCTCTGAATGAATAATTAATTTTCTTATATAAAAAAAGAAGTTTCTCGCCGTCACGGTCTCTGCGTGAAGCAAGCCAGTTGAGTTAGTTGTTCTCCTACTGAATTTATTTTTTTTCCTTCCGATGGTGGGCAGAGCAGCGGTTTAAATTACGCGTATTCCGTTCAATCAGAATTGGCCCGAAAATATTTCAAGACCATCCAACTGTTGAAGATATATCATATATCTGAAGCAATATCATATACGTGTCCGCGAATCAATCTTGCGGACCAAAAATCTCTGGTCGAAAATAAATTTTTAACGGTTGTTCCAACGTCACGTACCGGAGCAATTCATAAAGCACCAAAACAGGCACCAGGTGCGCGTTTTAATAGCGCCGGAATTCCATTGCTTTTAATATTATTTTATATCGCTCTTCTCCTCCGCCTTGTCACTGTGATCATCTCAAGTTCGTTAACCCATCTCCCGCTGGACCAAAAAACACACCGGCTTTGCGAGCCCAACCGAGTGATAATTCCGTCCATCGAAAGTAACCGGGCAAGGCTATAAAATTTGCAAGCTCTACTCACCAAATTGAGGCTGAAATTCGAGTTTGGCTGAGAGAAAAACGCATGGAAAACCCAATTCACTCGATAAAACCACAACAAGACGGTCGGTCTCGCCCAGATGACTGGCCTTGGGCGACGGTGCTGCCCCTACCTGTTATGCAACGCAATATTCGCCTAATCTTGAAAATGAGTAGGGTGTTTACTCAGGAGCTAAATCCTTTTTCAAATTTTCTCGTTTAAATTCAATTTAACTCTGTTTAAATTGGTAAAATATGTTTTAAGAACTTAAATAATAAGTTTTTAGCCTCGTTTTATCAGTTAAAGTCATTTATTAGCGATTTATTAGTAGTAAAAAGTAACCTCTTCATTCTCCTTCGTCAATTTTCCACCTGAGAGGGGGGCGTGACAATAACATAAACACTCGCACGTGCGATTACATTTTTCTCAGCGGATTATAGTACTTTGTCGGGCCGAATGTCGTCGATTTTAAACATCAACATCGGTGTGCTGGGCCACGTCGACTCGGGGAAGACGTCGCTGGCCAAGGCTTTGAGCACCACGGCCAGCACCGCGTGTTTTGACAAAAATCCCCAGTCCAAGGAACGCGGAATCACCATTGACCTCGGTTTCAGCTCTTTTCAAGTAAAAATAATCTTCTTAAAATCTATGCTTTAATTTAATTTTGCACAGGTCGACATGCCGGAGCGTCTGAAAAGCGAGACCAACTGCAGCACTCTTCAGTTCACCTTGGTTGACTGTCCTGGCCATGCGTCCCTCATCAGGACAATCATCGGTGGCTCACAGATCATCGACATGTTCATCCTGGTCCTTGACGTTACCAAGGGTATGCAAACACAGACGGCAGAGTGCCTAGTCATTGGCGAAATCACGTGCAATAAGATGATTGTCGTCCTCAACAAGTCAGATTTGCTGCCAGTGGAAAAAAAGCAGGCAACGATTGAAAAGGTTAATCTTTCATTTTCGTTTTTTTACAAATTGAAATTTTAATGAATGATTGTTTTTCTAGATGACAAAGAAAATGAAAGCGACATTGCAGAATACTGTGTTTAAAAATGCAGAAGTTGTTGCTGTGTCAGCCAACCCCGGTGGCCAGGAGACTGACTCTCCAAAACCTCATGGTATTGAAAAGAATATAAATAAATATAATTGAATTCTTATGGAAATTTTGTTTCAGGGCTTCAAAGTTTAGTTGACTGTCTTTGTAATAATGCCTATGTACCTGAAAGAAGTGAAAGTTTGCCATTTGTCTTCTCAGTTGATCACTGCTTCGGAATCAAAGGTCAGGGAACAGTAATGACAGGCACTGTTCTTCAAGGTGTCGTCAAGATAAATGATGTAAGATTTTGATTCGCTAATGTTTCGTCACACTTAAAATCATAAAAACTGTAGGTTGTTGAAATCCCTGCGATAAAAGAAACCAGAAAAGTGAAATCAATGCAAATGTTCCGACGGCCTGTGGAAAAAGCAGCCCAGGGTGACAGGCTTGGCATCTGTGTGACTCAATTTGACCCAAAACTTCTGGAACGTGGCCTCGTCTCTGTCCCCAACTTCATTCCAACCATCTATGCTGCTGTGGTCAGCCTGAATAAAATTCGCTTTTTCCACGGCTCGATAAAGACTAAATCAAAGTATCACATGAGCATCGGACACGAGACTGTGCTTGGAAAAGTGACTTTGTTTAAAGGGTCACAGCCTTTTGACCTGAAGAATGAGTTTGAATATGTGGAGGAAATTGAGTCTGAAGAAAAGGAATCCGAGCTTGCTGGTCCTTCGTACTTTGCTTTGATTGAATTCGAGAAGTCTGTGACTGCGATTCCCGACTCTCTGGTCATTGCCTCTAAACTGGATATGGACATTCACACTAGCACCTGTCGACTGGCATTTTGGGGGAAACTGATCCTCAACTTGGAAGATAAATCGTACTCAACTAATGAACTGCCTAAGCTGAAAATTTACAAGAATAAATCCAAACGTGGAATTGTGGAGAGATCTCCGAACAATTCAAGTGTGATTGTGAAAAATATGTTCAAGAAAGAGACTAATTTGCAACTCTTTGCCAATATGAGAGTCAAACTTTCGTCTGGAGAGGACGGAGTCATCGAAAGCGGCTTTGGCCAAAGTGGAAAAGTTAAAATCAACATTCCAGGTAATGGTAGAAAAAGTAAAAATTTAAGTGAATTAATTTGTTTGTTATTAGGTGGACTGCTGGAAAAAACTCTAGAAATTTTGGCAGCCAAAAAGGAGTCTACCTCGTCTACAAAGCCAGTCGAAGTGATATTAAACTTCAAAAAGTATATTTACGATAGCAGTAAGAAGATGATTCAAAAGTAAATCAAACAAAACTTTGTCTTTCTTCACGTTGATATTTTACAAAAATTTACAGAAACACAAATTTATAATATGTGATAAAAATAAATAAATCATTCAGCTGCACTCAGCATGCTCACAACAAGTCTATTGATTAATTCAATTACAAAGAACATCACAAATCAAAGCAGCTAGCTGGAAAGCTCAATTAGAGTAGCTTTTATATAAGTTTTATTTTAATTTAGTAAATACTGAAAATGGAACATTTCATAACTCTTAAGAATTAACATTTATGGTTATGCTTCATCGCTATTAGTTATGGCTTTTAATTTGGAGACTGATTAGTTTAAAAATATCTTTTTGTGGCACAAAAAGCCGGACTTGATTCCGGAATCTGGAATTCGAAAACCACTGACACACTAACAAGAGCTATAAGAAAGGTACAGTCCAAGGGCAATCAGAGGATAATAAATAGGATGATAATTAAGAAGATTATCACGGACAGAACCAGAATTGCATACCACTGCCGTCGATCTGTAATTTTTTATTTAATAAATTAATATTCTCCTTCCTCGATTTTTATAATTCATGTTACCATTTGAAATACGGAATACTTTGGCCATTTTCTTGACTGTGGAGTCGATCCTTGACTCGGTATTTTCCATCTCATGCCCGAACTCATCAAGCATCCTAAGCTAAAAAATTAGCAAAATATCCCCAGATAATATTTAAAAAACAACATACACAGCCTGTTCGTCCAGCTCAGATCCGATCTGCCTCGAGACCGTCTTCAGTGTCCCTATCGAGTCCGAGATCGCGTCCAGCTGCTCATCCTGCGAGTGGATCATGTGTTGTTGCTGCTGAATGGCTGAGTCCATAAAAGTGTGGTTTGGACTGTCCATTTCGTTCTCCAGCTTGGAATACTTTGTAGTGCCGTGTGAGGTGGGTGCCCTGGGCGGACTGCTCTCCAACAAAGGCTGTAAAAAAGTTAATCTTTATTTCACTTGTGACATATTTAGAGGCATGATATAAATTGGTTCGGAACTATTTGCACTTTAGAAACCTTTCATTATTTTCTTTAACCGTGAAAATAAAATCAACTTTTGAATCAATCAAATTTATAATTCTTTTTAAAATAATAAAATTACAAATAATAGTAATTATCCGTACCTGTCTGGCAGTCCTGTCTCTGTCTCGTCCTCGAGAAATGTTCATTTTATCTTTCATCAACTGAAAAAGCAAATATAATTATCATAAAATACGGAAACTTTGAAAGTAATTGCTGGGTTATCAAACTTGGAAAGCAATTTATTTGCAAATTACATTCTCACCTTCACTTCTTCCCTGGTTTGCTCAATGAAACTCCGCCTGGACGTGAGCTCTCGGTTGTCGATCTTGAATTTGGACTGATTTTTCTCTACGATTCGTATTTCAGCGGTCAAGGAAAATTAGTACACGGCAATTTCGCAATTTAATATTTGAATTCAACAGAAAATTACAACAAGTCTGTTATTAACCACAATTTGCAGAACTGGATTTGGAGGCTGTAATTGAAGCATAGTCGCCTGCGGCAGTACAAAAAAGACCACCAAACTTGTAATACTGCCTTGAACTGAATTATTATTTCAGTAAACAAAAAAATTAAAAATGTTTAAATCCAAAGTAAAAAATTTGTGATAGCTGTAGGTTTAGTGAAAAGGATATCAATTGTGTCTTCGAGATCCTCCAAGTCCCACTCGATGCTCCTCAAAGAGTTGCGCAACTCAGTGGTGGTCCATTCAAGTTCGTCCTTGGAAATAGCGTCGGTCTCATCTTGTAATTCGAGCCACCGCCGATACAGGCCCCTCGTCTTGTTCAACGCTTTGCACACTTCACTGAAAATTCACAATGACAAGCTTTGTGTTAGAACTTTTTAATGGACAAAAAAACTAATCAATTTTATGTACAATTTGAATTGAAATTAAATAATTGAATAAGCTGGAATTTACTTGAGCTTAAAAAGTTCCGTTATGATTTTAATTAATTTCTTGTTTAATTTTTTAAGTTGATTTATATCCTTGTGAATTTAGGAAATATATTGCTCAAAAAAGTGAATATAAAATGTATTTATTTATTTTAAACTTCTCTAGAATATTTTGAATTGATTTTTATTTAAAATTGCCATGCAAATTTATTTTATAAAGTTCATTATGGATTTGAGTTCTTAGCAAAAATTAAAGCTAAAGTTATTATATAAATAATTCTTATGATTTATGATTTTGATTTACCTGTCAACTAGTCACTAATATTTCATGCGGATATTGATTTATCGGATTCATATCAATAAATAAATAATCATGACATTGACTAAATAAATAATAGGTATAATTAATTTATCTTAATAACATACTATGTACAACTTGTTAGCAAAAATACGAAAACACCTTTATCATATTGTCTAAAATTAAAAAAAAAAATAATAATTTTGATGAAAATAAAATAAATGCATATAAATGAAAGGGCACAGGCCGACAAGACTTTGTCTTGGCCTGACCCTAAAAAAAAAAAAAAAATTAAAAAATAAAATTGGAAATTTATTAAATCATAGAAAATGAAGACGATTCCAACAAATTAAATGGTGGAAATATTTTGAATAAATAATTAATTGTGAAAACTTATTGCGTGCTACGGGACAAACAACAACGAACGAGACGAGGAGCGAGCAAAATCATGAAGGAAGCGAGCGGATTTGGGCGCACGCATTCGAAATCTACGCCGACCCGGAAAAAAGGGTGCTTCGGACGCCGACCGTGTCCGTCGCGGCTACTTACTCTTTGACCACAAAGAACGGGTCTTCGTAAGTCATGTCATACGCGTTTATCGGAAAGCGGGTTCGGGGTCAAATTCGCGGTCGAGTTTTGTCGCGCGATCGCCGTTCAAAAGAGGAGCGGCCACGAACGCCGGCCGCCTCTGGCCATCACCTCGCAAGGCCCACCACCGGTACGTACTGCGGATCGGGTGCTGGAGCCGGACACTTTTTAAACGAGCCGAGGTCCGTCGGCGGCCTGCATTTTGCATGAACGAATCGACATTTCTGACGTCACGCCCCCTTGATCGAACAAAACAAAGGTCAGCGGCAGTGGGCGTGGCCGCAGCCAGCTTTGCAAAGATTTGCAGGAAAGCGCGCGAAGGGAAAACTCCTGCAGACTGCAGTGTCTGGATTCCTACAAAAAGTGTCCTTTTTTGTAGACTTAAGACTAAATTGGGCTCTAATTTTGAGTCATTTGCGCGTAAGCCTCCGAATTATAAGAATAAAAAAGGGGAAAGGAAAAAAGGAATGTCTGTTCTGTATCAAATTAATTAAATCAAGATTTATTTTTTGAAATGAAAAAAAGATGGATAAATTCAGTCCCTTTCTTAGTATTAACCAGATTAACGTGATCTAATAATTTCAAAAATACACAATAATGGTCCATATAATATAATAGAGCATGAAAAAAGGAGGTCCTAATTTAGAGAAAATAAAATTAATTACTTTAATTACCAAATTTTATGTTCAAAATTAATTTTTTTATGAAATTAAAAACTCATTGAACTTGTTTACTTGTGGCTACATTTGGTGATACTATCTTTCCATATACGCGACATCTCGCTTGTCAGAAGCTCGCGTCTCTCGTTTTACTTGCACTGCCGTATTCATGAGAATTTTAACTCTTTTTAATTTTTTCTGTGCTGGCCAAGCCCAATGGCTATATGTGTTGATCGCGACGAGTGCTCAATGAAAACAAGATTGTTAGCAATCGACTGAGGCGTGTTTGCTGATAAAGATAGGTTGATAAAATTGGTGCAGTAGATAAGTCGCTTCCAATGATAATATTGTGTTTGCTCAAGATTGAATCCAAAAAATAGAAAAGAAATTGATGGAAAATTGTAAAATATCGCGGTGTGTAATGTTGCGCTTCAAAGAAACACTGGGCAATTTTTTATTAAATGAATTATTTTGCACATCTATGATTTATATCAATTATAAAATTTATAAAAAAAAAAATGCATTTTGCCCTTTCAAAAATAGACACCATTGCAATTTTTATGATTAATTCCTTACACACATTTTAAATTTTTCTAATTTAATGATGAAAAAAATTCATTTATTTTTTTTATGCATTTATATTTTTAATGATTTCTGCTTTAATAAAATAAATTCCTCAAATTATGCCAGTCCTCCTCCTCCCTGTCCGTAAATTTTAAAATTTTTAACAAAAGAAAACTTAAAAAATAAAAATTTGAGAAATTCTGAAGATAATAAGGAAAGAAAAACGAAAAAAGTTGTAGATTAGATGGAAATGGAATTATATTGAATGAATTTGAAAAAGGAAAATTGCACAAAATACTAAATGCATTAGTTACGAGGTTTCATAAGTTGTTTATATTTATAATTGTTTATAATACTGACAACCGAGCGTATAACCAAATTTAATTTTTCCAATTCAACAAAGTTAAACATTATTTCTGATCAACAACTTTCACAGCCCAGGAGATAGATTTGCAAAAATTTTGTACACTTATTTTAAGGAGTCCATCAACTTTAGGGATTGCAAATTGGGGCAGAGGAGAAGGATGCGTCAGCGTTGAAATGCTGAGGGTTGAAAGAAGACGTTGAGAGGTCAGCGGTGAGCGTTAAAAGTCCAAGCGGTGGTCGTTGAAAGGCTGAGCGGTCAGCGTTGAAAGGCCGAGGGTTGAGCGGAGTCGTGAGTGAGTGAGTGAGTGAGTGAGTGAGTGAGTGAGTGAGTGAGTGAGTGAGTGAGTGAGTGAGTGAGTGAGTGAGTGAGTGAGTGAGTGAGTGAGTGAGTGAGTGAGTGAGTGAGTGAGTGAGTGAGTGAGTGAGTGAGTGAGTGAGTGAGTGAGTGAGTGAGTGAGTGAGTGAGTGAGTGAGTGAGTGAGTGAGTGAGTGAGTGAGTGAGTGAGTGAGTGAGTGAGTGAGTGAGTGAGTAGTGAGTGAGTGAGTGAGTGAGTGAGTGAGTGATTGGAGTGAGTGAGTGAGTGAGTGAGTGAGTGAGTGAGTGAGTGAGGTGAGTGAGTGAGTGAGTGAGTGAGTGAGTGAGTGAGTGAGTGAGTGAGTGAGTGAGTGAGTGAGGTGAGTGAGTGAGTGAGTGAGGTGAGTGAGTGAGTGAGTGAGTGAGTGAGTGAGGTGAGTGAGGGTGAGTGAGTGAGTGAGTGAGTGAGTGAGTGAGTGAGTGAGTGAGTGAGTGAGTGAGTGAGTGAGTGAGTGAGTGAGTGAGTGAGTGAGTGAGTGTGTGAGTGAGTGAGTGAGTGAGTGAGTGAGTGAGTGAGTGAGTGAGTGAGTGAGTGAGTGAGTGAGTGAGTGAGTGAGTGATGAGTGAGTGAGTGAGTGAGTGAGTGAGTGAGTGAGTGAGTGAGTGAGTGAGTGAGTGAGTGAGTGAGTGAGTGAGTGAGTGAGTGAGTGAGTGAGTGAGTGAGTGAGTGAGTGAGTGAGTGAGTGAGTGAGTGAGTGAGTGAGTGAGTGAGTGAGTGAGTGAGTGAGTGAGTGAGTGAGTGAGTGAGTGAGTGAGTGAGTGAGAGTGAGTGAGTGAGTGAGTGAGTGAGTGAGTGAGTGAGTGAGTGAGTGAGTGAGTGAGTGAGTGAGTGAGTGAGTGAGTGAGTGAGTGAGTGAGTGAGTGAGTGAGTGAGTGAGTGAGTGAGTGAGTGAGTGAGTGAGTGAGTGAGTGAGTGAGTGAGTGAGTGAGTGAGTGAGTGAGTGAGTGAGTGAGTGAGTGAGTGAGTGAGTGAGTGAGTGAGTGAGTGAGTGAGTGAGTGAGTGAGTGAGTGAGTGAGTGAGTGAGTGAGTGAGTGAGTGAGTGAGTGAGTGAGTGAGTGAGTGAGTGAGTGAGTGAGTGAGTGAGTGAGTGAGTGAGTGAGTGAGTGAGTGAGTGAGTGAGTGAGTGAGTGAGTGAGTGAGTGAGTGAGTGAGTGAGTGAGTGAGTGAGTGAGTGAGTGAGTGAGTGAGTGAGTGAGTGAGTGAGTGAGTGAGTGAGTGAGTGAGTGAGTGAGTGAGTGAGTGAGTGAGTGAGTGAGTGAGTGAGTGAGTGAGTGAGTGAGTGAGTGAGTGAGTGAGTGAGTGAGTGAGTGAGTGAGTGAGTGAGTGAGTGAGTGAGTGAGTGAGTGAGTGAGTGAGTGAGTGAGTGAGTGAGTGAGTGAGTGAGTTAGCGAGCACAACAGTGTGTGTGAGTTAGCGAGCACAACAGTGTGTGAGTTAGCGAGCGAAATAGTGTGTGAGTGAGTGAGACTCTCGCACTCACTCAATCACTCACTCGCTCGCTCGCTCTCTAACTCATTCACTCAGTCACTATTTCGCTCGCTCTCGCACTCACTCACTCACTCATCCGCTCGCTCTCGTACTGGTCGTCTGATCCGAGGACCATCTTTCTATCTGAGAACCTTGGCTCCTGAGTCTACCTGCTTCAGCTTTCAGCTTCCTTTCAGCAGGCCATTCGGCGTCCACCAGCATACAGTCATTCTGACCCGCAGGCCCGGACTGGGCCCACGGGCAGTCGGGCCGAACCCCGATGGGCCGCGTTGCACTATTATCAATAATTTAACATTGGTGTTATGAGGAAAGGTAGACTGCGCCGCTGAACTGGGCCGCGCTTTGTCAATGAATATCGCCCTGTGGGTTGCGGAGCCCCATCCAGTCCGGCCTTGCTGACCGGCCAGGTCAACCGTTTAAAAAAACGAGTTTGGTAGAAACAGTAGGCATTAAAACGGTGAAAGTTATATTTTTTTTTTTAATTTTCTTAATATGAATTATTTTATTACACCTGAAATTTACATCGATTATAAATAATACATATTTTGCACTTACAAAAAATGACACCATTTTGCATTAATTTCAAAATATGATGGCTCTTTATGGCAGTGTCTGGCTAGTGACTATTTAAAACTAATCTGATCTGCACTTATAAATTGATAGCTGGAGTTAAAAATGCTCTTACAAAAATATTCTTTCTAATTTTTATTTGAAATTTTCTCTTTATTGAAAAAAAAATTTGATTGTGGACTGACAGCTGTGCAGACACGAGTGAATCATTACAGGACTAGGACGTAAAACAACAAGAACGCTTAAATTTACTTTTTGAATATTTTTAGCTTAACGCTTTACAACACTACATCAGATCTAAAAAAAAATGATTCTCCCAATTACATCTTTGGTATGGCTCGTTGCAATCAAGTGGAAGAATCAGGATTTGGCACTGAATGATTTTTTTTCTTACGCTACTAATGCTTAGTAGAGAGTGCGCGTCTTTGGCATGTCTATCAATGCTACATAACTTAGAATGATCTACAGGCTAATTTTTAATAGGAATTATTCATTACAATTAGATGCGGAGCAAAAAACAAGCAGGCGCCCTCGTCGTTCACACACAAAACTGTTTAAATTAAAACGTAATGCGACGAACACAATGTGTGATACAAATGCAATGCAAGGAATTGAAAAGACTGCGGCAGGTCCTTTTTCTCATTTCATATATACTGGCTTCAAAAACGTCTCTGACTTGATTTGTTCAAGGCTCGAGTTTCACTCTCTTCCAGCAGCCGTCGGGTAAAGATTTGCGGATTTCGTCAATGTTGTCCACTTCGATCCTCAACCTGGCTACTTCCTCCGAGTAATCCTTTATCCATTGAGTCTGGAAATTAATATTTGGTCAGAAAAGATATTAAAAATTTATCTGATCAAAGAATTTACCTGTTGGTTTTTAAGCATTTTTAATTCTTCCATTCTTTGGTCCAGATTTGCATCCTGGAATTCTTTTTCTGCAGCTGCCAGTTTCTTTTCAAGTATATTCAGTTGGTCCTCATCTGCACAAAAAATTTAACTTTTGTCTCAAAAAATAAAAATAAATTTAGCATTACCAATATCAGTCACATCCTGCAACTCCTTCATTATGTCCTCAACCTCCTGAAGCGCTTTTTCCACTCTCTTTGATGCTTCAGCCGAATTACTCTTTGCCTGGCCAACCTTCTCTTTGGCCTATTTTAGACAAATTAAATAATAGTTTTCTTGGATATTTAATTTAATTCAATGAATTACCTCGTTTGTCAGGGTTTCATCAGTGTTAGCCTGCAATTCCAGTTGTTGCACTTTGCCACCAGTGGTTGCCACCTGAGAAGAAAGTTTGTCGGCTGCGTCCCTTAAACCTTCGGCTTTCTTTCTTGTTGCGTCAGCAGAATTTCTGATCTCATCAGCTTCCTATTTTTATAAATTATATTAAAAATTTAAAATAAAAGCATGAAAAATATTACATCTGAAGCTTTAGCTGCGTAATCATTCTGGGCCTCAAATGCTGCATCCTTGGCCGCCTTTGCGTGGTCCTCAGCGTCTGTCAAAGCCACAGCTGCCTGCTCTGTTGTTACCCTTGCCTTTTGGATCATCTCCTCAATTTCATCAATTTTATCCAGCGCCTCTTGCGCCTTGTCTTTGCTCTTTTGAACGTCCTTATCAAACTCTGAAATTAATTTTTATTTATATAAAAAAATGTTTTATTAATATTTTGTTTAATTATTCACCTTGAAGTGTCTTTAGAGTTTCCTGAGCCTCAGCCAAAGTTTTGTCTCCCAGCTTGACGGCTTCCTGTGCCTCCGAATCTGCGTTGTCCACGTCGGCCAGAAGTTCGTCGACCGTCTGCTGTTGTTCTTGGGCCAACCGCAGGAGCTCCTTTAAGTTAGCACTCTGCTCAGCCAGATCTCCCAGAAGATCACCGTGATCAGCCAGAACTTTGTCTGCTTCACTCTTGAGCTTTCGGGCCTCCTCAGCTGCGACTTCGGCGTCCGACTTGAGCTTCGGAACGTCCGGTTCAGGCAACTTCAGACCGTAGACCACTGCGTAAATGGCGAGGGACTCATTCAGCATTTGCGAAGCCTTGTCCTTGGCAGTTTGGGCCAAGATTTTGGTCTTGTCCAGCCTGTCGGCCACCGCCTCCAGCTCGTGTCTCAGTCTGCCCAGCTCGTCCTTCGTTGTTTTTTGCTCGTTGATGGCGTTTTTGGCGACGTCGAAAGCGTCAGATGAAGTTTTTACCGCCTCCTCAGCAATTTTCTTAATTTCCTCAGCTTCTTTTTCTTGTCTAAATGAAATATAATTTTAATTAAAATTTAAAATATTCAAAGGAATTGCTTACTCCTGAGCAAGCTGGCGCGCCTGCCGAGCAATATCGGACATTTTTTCACTCTGCTGGCCGAATTGTTCTGATCGCTGCACAGCCTCCTTCAGAGCTTCAGCACCCTCAGTTTGCAAATAATCGACAGCATTCTGAATATATCAACATTATATTATATTATCTTTGTTTTAAATTTAAGTATACCTTTAAACTTTCTCTGGCCCTTTCAATGGTGTCCTCGACTTGAGTTGCGTTGGCTTCTCCCTGGGTTGTAAAAACTCTAGCCGTCTCAGTGAACATTGTGATGTTTTTATGAATTTCACCAATAGACTGCAGTCTGTTTTTCAAATCTTTGAGCTTCTCCAGAAGAGACTTGTCACCAGCTTTAATTTTTTAATTTAGAAAAAAAAATACAAATTTTTTACTTTTTCTTACATCCAGCGCCTTTTTTGGCATCATTCCACAACTGGTCAACACTTTTCTGAACTTCAGTCAACTTTCTCTCAAAGTCAACGTCATCAATGACCGTTGGCGTATCAGTAATATTTGCCAATAGCTCAAGAAGTTTGTCGAGTTTGCTGCGATGGTCGTTGACTGCGTCCTGGACCAGATTGTAGCAATCGTCGCAGTCCACACATCCCCTTTGTTTGTCGTGCGTGTTTTCCTTGCACTGATTGCAAGTCAGGCCCTCCACGTTTTCATTACACTTAAAAAATTAAATTATCATAAAACGATGGTTGGCATTGAAATTTAAATCGCTTACTGGACACTGGCCATATTCGTCACACTGAAGATTTCTCGAGCCGACCTCGTCGCAGTTGCAGTGCTTGCAGCCGGTTGTTGAGAATCCAAAGTGGAACGTTTCACAAACGTCACACCTGAGGCCAGTCACTCCAGGTCGGCACTTACACTGACCAGTGGTCATGTCACAAGTTCCGTCTAAAGAGCCGATTGGATCACAATTGCACGCTTGGCAACCCTATAGAAATTAAAATTTATGCCATAAAAGTAAAAATTGATAAAAACTTTGGAAGGAATCGATAAAAATTTACAATTTAATTTGAGTTTAAGATGAAAGGAATGAATTATGAAAAAAATGGAATTTTTTTATTTATCATTTTAAATTTTAACTCAAATTCAATAAAAGCTCCCCAATGAATCTCAATTGATTGGGACAGGAGACTTTCAATGTAATAATTTAATTTATAATTTAATATTTAAATTTTTTTACCTCTCCGCTATTGATGTTGTAAAATCCATCCTCGCAAACGTCACAATTTTTTCCAGTCACATACGGTTTACATCTACACTGGCCAGAAATCTGGTCACAGGCAAACGGACCTTCTTTTGTTCGCTCAGTACCAAGTCCGTTGCACTGACAGGTCTTGCAGTCTCCCTTTGGCAAGGACAGGGCATCACCAAAGAAGCCTATTTGAATATTGCAATTTAATTATTAATAATTTTTAATTTTATAATAATCTTACCTGGTAGGCAGACTTCACAGTGGCTGCCACCGGTGTTGTAAATGCACTTGAGGCACTCTCCTGTGGTCCTGTTGCAGTTTCCGATTCCATTAGGGTCAACGTTGGAATTGCAGTCACAGGGTTCACACTTTGACCTGAAGGAACCAAAGCGGCCCTCGGGATCTCCAAAGTATCCGTCGCTGCAAATGTCACAACGAGGGCCTGAAATTACAAATATTAAAAAAAAATTACTTTTCAATAATTAAAGCAAACCTCCGTAACCCTTCGGGCACTCCAGGCAGACAACAGTCTCGTCCAAAAGTTGTACACAAGCACTTTGGTTGGGACACGGGCAGGGCTGGCAGTCGCTGTCCGTTCCGGCCAGGGCGTTTCCGTAGAAGCCTCTGGCGCACAGCTCGCAATTTTCGCCGGCCGTGTTGTGCTGACAAATGCATCTTCCGGTGTCAGCGTCGCAAATGTCGGCGTGTCCGTTGCAGTTGCAGGGCACGCAGCGGGCAAAGCGGCCGCCGTAGTTGGGCTCGTGGCGATAGCCAGGGGCGCAGGATTCGCAGAACTGACCAACATAACCTTCAGGACATGTGCACATTTCAATCCAGTTCGCTGGTTTGCCTCCTGTGTCTCTTCGGGCAGTTTGCAGCTTGAAGTCCTTCAAATATCCAACGCCTAAAATATTTTTTTTTTATCAATTAAAAAGGTTGCTCCATAAAAATAAATTAAATTCTTTTTACCATCATAAGTGTATGTGCCCCTGATTTTGATCGCTGTCAAATTAGAGAGGATCCTCATGTACTCTCGGGCCGAAAGTCTCGGCTGCCATCCATACTCAGAATCTTCATGCAGCCTGAATGTGTACTCTCGAATCTATAAATATTATTATTAAATTTTAATTTCAGATTAAATTACATCATTTAAAAAGTACTGAGGTTTTGGGAAGATCGTTTCCTTGTCCGAAAATGGTCTGCACAACTTTTTCACCATCACCCTCCAAAATGATGTCTTCAACCGAAGAAGATGGGCCTTCGCTACCGATTCTCAATTTAAAGGACAAATCTCTGTTGTAACTTGCTCTCATATCACCCAAAAAACGATCTGAATATATAATTAAATTATTAATAATTAATTTAAATTGCAATAAAATTTAATACCTGGGGCAATGAAGTACACAGGGGCATTTCCCACAGCACTCAGAGCGATGGACTGAGTCAAAGCATTGTACTGCAAACTAGTCGATTGTCCACTTGCTTCCTGAGCTGTCCAGCGGTCTTGTCCTCGGACAAACATGCTCTCAAGATTTACTAAAATTATAATTAATATTGGTTTATTTATTAATAATGACACTTATTTCTTACCCTGAGAGTATCCAGGTGCTGATTGACAGACAGAAGAATGACCATAGCAGAAGCACGGAGTGCAACCAAAGTCATTTTCTAGGTCCAAGTTGAAAAAGCTCGGCTTGCACCTGTAATTTGGAAACATTTTATGATAAAAATTCTAATAGAAACTGTATGTTATTTTTCAGCGTATAATCGATTTGAATTAAAATCACCAAAATTGCAATTAGTTTCTTATGATAAATTCATGTAATTCACACACAAAGCCAATGGGCGGGAGGAAGAGTTTGCATTAAACACTAATATAACCTTTAACAGCTATGTATCAAATTTATAAAAATAAATGTAGCTTTAATAAGTCTAATAAATTAATATTCAATGTAATAAAATAATTGCTATTTAAAGATAAAAATACTGTAAAAAATAACAAATATTAAAATAAACATTTTAAATTAATACATGCATGGTAAATTATTTAAGTAAAATAATTTAAAAACTATATTTAAATTGTTATTTTTTTTAACAGGTATTTCATTTTGAAATTTAGTTAAAATTTATTTACCTGTCGCATCTGTTTCCTTCAACATGCAGTTTGCAGTGGCAGACGCCACTGTTGGGGTCACAGCGCGGCTTGTTCCTGAAAGAACCAGCTTCGCTGCATCCGCAAGGTTTGCAGCCCAAAGGCCCGAAGTCGAAGAAATTGGCGTCGCATCTGTCACACTTGTCACCAGTGACGCCCGCTTTACATTGGCATTTGCCTTCACTGTTGCACTGCAGGCTTCGCGATCCTGATTAAATTGTGCAACTCATTAAAAAAAGAACAGAAAATTTTAAAATTAACTATTTCTTTGTTTGTATTTTTCTTCATAAATTATTAAAAGTATTATAAAATGTCACTCACCAACTTCGTTGCAGTTGCAAGGAATGCAATAACCATCCTCCCTCTGGAAAAAGTTCTCCTTGCATCGCTCGCAATTCGGACCGTCGCGATTTCCAGTGCAGTCGAGACAGTGTCCACCGTGACCCGTCCTAGCGTACAACTCCTGGTCGAAGAAACAACGGTTCGAAAAACCATTGCAATTACAGGCTGGAAACAAAAGCAGACGGAAGAATTAAATTCACGCGATTTACTGAGTTTAAAATGATCAATAAAAATCTAAAAGAAAAAAGAAGTCAGGAGAGTAAAATTATATAAACTGGTCAAGGTAATAAATCTTCCTTTGATATAAAAATCCATTAAAAGTCTTATCTTGCAGTTTCCTATTTTGTTGCTTGGCTCACTTTTGCCGCAGCATCCAACTAGCACAAATTTTTTATTTTATGTCAATAAAAAGGCAATAATATTGCTCTCCGGCTGCTTTTATAGTTTAACACGCTTTCTCAGCGTCCATTAATAAAACCAAAATAAAGATAATCGGTGTCTGATCCGGCGAATATATAGTTTTCATTTCAAAATTTATTACAGCGCCACAAATGCATTAAAGAGAAAGAAGATAGCCAGAAAACCTCGGCGGGGTTGTGGTCCAGCTAAACGAAATTATTTAATTCCATTCTCAGGCGTTTATAAGTTATCATTTTACGGAATGAGAAAATGGAACATCATGCACCGCGCCACGGGTGAGCGGCGGCCGAGATAAATGGGGATGGTGAATGGTCTGCGTTCATTAATTATCTTCTTGCTACAGAGATGGGTTAAATTTAAACCCGTGAGCATCATCGCACAACACTTTAATTAATAAAATTCGTCCAACTTTATTATGTTTGACTTTTTTTTAACGATAAGATTCTTTTCTACAAAATCCTGTTATAAAAATTGCAAAATGATTTAAGATTTAAATTTATTCTGCATTAAACTGTAATCAATACTTTAAAAATAGTTATTCTGAGTTAACTGATAGAAAAATTAGTAAATAGTATAGTTTATTTTTATTTAGATAAGTAAAGCGTTGTTATTTGGGATAGCTAAAAAATATTTAAATCAAAATATTTCCGATTATGAGATTTACAGAAAAATGTGCGATTTTCTTGAAATATTTATTAATTTTGAATTAATTTAGTTTATAAAATTCCTCCACGCAAAAAGTCTTAATCCCAGTCCATAAAATTGTCCTGCCCAACCGGGCTAATAACTGGAACTAGTACCAATTTTATTGATAAAACGAGAATAATATTCTATCTAATTGAATGAAATATACATTTTTTATTTTGAATTTAATATTCACTTGAATTTACTTGAAAATTTGAAATAATTATCCAATGGAAAGGTGTTTTGGCTTTGCGGGTTGCATTCATCAGATATACGGTGACATATTTATATATTTATTTAATTATTTTTTTGTAAATTAATCTCAAGATTTGCCCAGATGAAAAATTTCAAAATTTAGTTTTTAAATAACATTAAAAAAATCACGTGAGCAACATGGCAACAGTGGAATCCACCAACTGTTGGCATTTTACCTGAAAATGCAGGTAAAAAGAGTGACGCACAATGATAATGGGAAAGGATGACCTGCGCTGCCGCTTGGTTGGTTTCACGGAAAACAAGAATTTTCAGCCCCGCAAGGATCGTTTTGTGTCTCTTTCCACCTCCCCCTTTGCTGTGGCCGGACAAAAAGCTGAAAAATGTCGCGTTTCTGTCTCGCGAGAGATAAAAACTGGCGGAATAATAATTATTGCTCTTTGCAGAAATACTTGTCGTGCCAACGCCGAAATTAAATTAGCCGCGGCACACATAAAATAAGCGGTTCATTTTTCCCACGGCTCGAAGGTGATCAACCCTTGCGGCGGCGGCTCGGTGCAAAAAGCGTGCCCTTTAAAGGAAGCTTTCTTTATTTCCATTGTTCTGCGACATTAGCGGCCGCGGAATGCGGTTCCATATAATAAAAGCGGTAATAAACAAAACCTTGTCCACCATGTCCTTATTTGTGCGTAACTTATTCCGCGTCTCTCGTTGCGCGCGGAGAAAGAGAAGCGCAAGAAGAGGCTTTGCTGGAAATTAATTTTTTGCAGACCTGAGAGCGTCGCGCTGTGACCGAAATTCCCAATCGCGCGGCGCGGCCGCGACAAACGCGAAATCAAACAACACGTGTCGCTTGATCTCATCGCAGATCACTTTTTGTCGCGCGAGTCTTGAACGACTCGTGATTTTAATTCCAGGGATTTTATCGGTGATCGACGCACCACCTGTTAAGCCTTGATCTTGTCCGGCACGAACGATTTATTTGGTGTGCGTGACAGTTTTAAATTTCACGTTCAATGCTATACGAAATAATCTTTACAAGTAGTAATGAAACAGTGGCTCAGTGGAGAGATTTTACTTTAATAGCATCAGCTTATTTTTTAATATCACTGAAGAATTTTTACTGATCAAAAAAAATTCATTAAATTTAATAAAATTATTATAAAATAAAAACAGAAGAACGATTTATAGAAAGTTAATAAATAAAAATAAATAAAAAACTAGCAACTATATGAAATAGATTTTCTTTATATTATATTTTTTTAAATTTTATTTTGTAAAAGCTTTTTTTATTTTAAACCCTTCTATACTGCAATCCAGAGGTGATAATTGGAAATTATACTATTCATTTTACTCAATGGGTTGGTTTTTTTTTATTCAGGAGGTGCTAATCGCCCCTCCATAAAACTTTAAGCCAAAGACTTATTCATGAAACTTTTGAAGTCCCGCTTCAGTTCCAGCAGATTTTCTTCCCGACTGCGCGGGTGTTTGCTTTTTCAATCACGAACAACTCTATTTGAATTTTATTAGTCGGCTCATTCACGAAATTCCACCTTGCAGGTTTCCCACGCCAATTCTCCATATCGAGAATAATAAAATTTAAGGAATAAAAGAAAAAGTTGATTAAACGTATTCCGTGCTGGGGGTCACGTGATCTAAATAATGATGCGTGGCCAAATTTCTCTCTCTCGGCGAAATTACAAGGAATGAAAGCAATAAAAGCCAACTGTGCTTGAGAGTCATTCAAAAAAGAAGCCGCCATATATAGAATTTCCTATCATTTTTCTCATTATTCGTGCGAGGACAAAATGATACATCTTTTCAGGTGATGGAAAAAAATGAGAGAGATGTTCTTTGACGGCTGTCCAAATTACGGGTGCAGCAATTTCGGCTTTTTCCAGTGATAAAAAGATTTAATTAACGACGGTGAATAGATCTCGCCGCGGCTAGGCAATAAAAACGTACAAAAAGGGAGCATTCATTGTGCGGCCCAGACAAAAAGTATACATAAAATGTGTACAACTGTAAAAGTCTTGCAGCGGAGCAAAATTTCACCTGTGAGAGAGTCTAGTTTTAGATTATATATTATGCTGGACCGCGGCCGGCAAAAGTGCAATATCATCGCAGAGCAGCAGATAAGCATTTGATGTAATTAAGTAATACGGCTCGCGGAGTGAATTCCTGGAATGAATCGCGCGCAGGAGAAAAGGCGAAATACTGCACGGATTTTCTTTTCTTTGCCTGCTGAGCGCGGCTGTCACTCGGCATAGGACGCTCTGATTTTATCCTGCCAACCAGGCAAAAGGATCTGTTACACAAAACTTGTTGTCATATCAAAATGGAATCGGCGCTTTTTTTCGCCTCATCAGGGTTAACAACAGTTCCGCAGGTCATCAGAGTTTTGAGCTCTGAAAATGATTCAACCGCCTGTTTTTATTTTTTATAAACCATTTTGATCGTTTCTTGTTGCTATTATAACGCTTCACAATTCAAATCTAAATAAAAGAGCAAATTAAAAAATGTGAAGACACAGCAACACCTTTGGCAAACAAGTTGCTAAAACGCGGGGCCTCAAGAGAGGTCCACGCCGAGATAGGTTTTTTTTTTTTAATTTTTGGAGAATTAAAAGAATTCATGTTACTAAAATTAAATTTCACGTTTTAAGTCAGCTTAAGACTTTCCATAATTTCTAATGTTCCCTATATTATGTTCCCATTGCTTTTTGCCAAAAAGCACAAATAGTTTTTGTGCTATTTTTAATAATTTTTTTGTACTTACTCTTTGTTACCAACTGCACGATACATTATTTTCATATTTAATTTTGATAATTTATGATTTTAATTTTTAATGCTATTTAGTTATTTTCCACCAAAATTTACATAACAGCGCAAAGGCTATTCAAACTTAATTTTAATTATACATCATCTGTTGCAAGTCTGTTGCGTAATAGAATATAAATATTTAAAATCATTTTAAATTTTTTTTAATTTTTCAGGAGCAATAGTCACGCAGATTAACAACAATAAAAAACAATACTTCACTTAGGAATGTCAATAAAAATTTTAAAATTGTTTATAATATTATAAAAAATATGATAAAAAAGTAGCTTCTGCCAAAGAAAATAAAAATAAATTTATACTTATAAATAAATTGCTAAAATTTTTAATATTGCTCTCATTGTGCAGACTAAAGCATCACGAGACAACCAAGAATTTCCTTTTCTCCCGTAAATGCCGTGGTCGGCGCGGCATTTTACATCAATTACGTCAATCGTCAAGAACAATTAGATGCATTTGTGGAGGAAAAGAGTTGGCGAGTGACGCCGCCGCTATTTATTTCTGTTGCCCGCGCGCGTCGATTCTTTTGAGGTGAGACGCACAGACGACTTGCACATGACTTGTGTCTTGTTCTGGTTAACTTCAATAAAAAGGGGGAAAGAAATCTTGGCTGAGACTCAAAGGACACACATAATATGACTCACTTGCGTCTTGAATAAACATAGTGTGCAGACTAATTACGCTATAAATGCAAGCCTGAAGCCACTATTAGCAATTTTCTAAATTTGGAATAAAAAAAATACTAATTTCAAGAGGTCAAAATTGATGAAAAATTGCAAGCTTTGAAGTAAATTCTGGAATATTTGCGAATATTTTAAATTTTGATTTAATGACTCCTTATTGACAAAGTCAAATCAAATCTTTGCAACAATGGTTTGTTAAATTCCCTATAATTGCCAAAAATGATTTCTAATGTTGTAAAGACTTGATTTGACTGTCAATAAGGAATCCTTAAAATACCTGATGGGACTATTGGCCTTTTTTATTTAATTCTTCAAGAAAAATATAGAC